GATGTTCGACAGGGATAATAATTGTGCAACGAAGGATTTGGAAAAATTAGCGCTGGCAATGAGTTATGCGAGGCCAGAGATCGACGATAGAACTTCCTCGGGGCGTGCACAAGAAACGCTCTCAAGAACGCATTCCACGCGGAGTGTCCGCTCCTGTGGGGTGTCGTCGCGCGGAAAACAGCCGTTTGATTTTTATCCCCCGCATTTTCTCCCTCGTTCGATAACAACGGTGCCGCGCGTGTTCATTCCGCTGTATGATTACATGCGGAAGGAAGCGGCGAATAAAAGTGCGAGCACGAGTTACAATCGCAGACGTAACAATCGCGAGACGGCTTTCCCGACGAGTAATCTCTTTTTCGTGCATCCCGTGCATTTGTCTGCGAAACCTCGTCGATTTGACTGCTGACCGCGGCGCGGCGGAACCGTAGATCGTGAACCGTCGGTAGTTTTAACGTCAACTTCGGCTCGGTTCGGCGAGCCGCTAGTTATCCAGTTTCAGTAAGTTTCAAGCGCAATCCTTATATTTCTGTTGTAATCGGACGCGGACGAGACGACTGTCGGGTCAAAGTGCCGAGGAGAACGTTGACCTTCGCGGAGATGGATTCGGGCAGCAGGGGTTAATGCAAGAATTAGCGAGACGGTGTCGCAAGGTACGACCACGTCGCTGAATTATGTTCGCGGCCACGTAGGTAGCGGCTGCGTATCCTCATCCGTAACCAAATACGTCTGCACGCTGACATCGGCGGCTCCGTAGCCACACCTACAGGTCGTACACGGTATTCGTTACATGCTCATATTCCATGAACAATTTCCATGCGCGTACGCGGGCGAAATATCGATCGGAGGAATGCACCGAAACGCGTCGCCTAATTGCGTAACGCGTGTGTCTTTCCTGCGGCGATTTCGGCGCTTTGCGCAGCGCACGCAACTCCCGATGACACCGATTTAACAAAAAAAAAAACAAAAAAAGAAAGAAACGAGATTAGAAAATGATTTCGTTGTAGGAAAAAGTTCGGGTTAGGTTAGGACATTTCTCGATTGAGTCGAGTGGAAATCGTTGAAATTCGTGTGAAAATTCGCCGAACAAGACGACGACGTCTCGGGAGAGGAGATTCGCGCTGATGCAAAACGGCCCAACGCTTGAAAAAGAAAAAAAAAAGAGAAAAAATTCGCCGTTGAGAAATGCGGCGGAGGAATCCGCCGCCTTTTCTCGAGGATAGCGCAAGAGGAAAAAGGTAGATAATAACGTGGTTACCGCGCGTATTACTACTTCCCTGTGCGCGAGTACACAGTCATGGTTGCGAACTGCACTCTGTATACGGCATCTAAATAATATTATTCACGCACACGCAGTGGCGTAGCGGAGTTACATCCTCGGGTCTCTCCCTCTCTCTCTCTCTCTCTCTCTCTCTCTCTCTCTCTCTCTCTCTCCTTCTGATCGAGCGATTTCGCCTTTCGATTTCGTTTCTTCGCTGCCTTCGATTTCCTCAACTCTCTTCGAACGAAAGAAAAAAATCAACAAACTTTCGGAGCTCAGTTCATATTCTCTAGATGGAAATGTTCACAGATCCGAGTTGTTTTCGGAGCTGACTCTCTCCGGCGTGCGAAGAATCGCGAGTCGATATTCCGCACGCGAGATACTTCTCTCTAATTATGCGGGTTTCCGCGAGGCATCCGACACGTTCGACCGCTCTCTCGCGCCGACATTTTTGAGAGGCGCGGATAATCGCATTCTGAGACGGGGTCGAGACGCGTCCCCGTCTTGGCCGTCAAGGTGTGTGTGAGACAGCGATTTACCTAAACGAGAGACGACGAAGGTCCGTGTCATTCGACTGTACGGTTCACGGCACACGGCCTCGCGATGCCATTGTGTGACGCGTGACGTATACGACGTGAGGTACAAGCGCGACGGCGGAAAAATTCGCTCAGGTAGCCGAAGAGAACGATGACGTCGCATATGGGTCAGTGGGACGTCGCGTGAATGCGTGAAATCGCAAGTCAACGACCTACCCGATGACCCGCTGACTTAGAGACACGCTTGCTCGCGCGTCTGTAGGACGCGCGGATGAACTCGATCACCCTGTATATCAACGGGAGGAGAGACTCTTTGCCCAACGGAAAAGCATACAAGGTGTGGAAAAGCGGCGAGGAAAACGCGGGAGGGCACGATTAATTATGCCGCGTCTTCGCGGAGAATTTGACGAGAGAAACAGCTTGGAGGCGAGAGGAGGGATACACCAACGTGTTTCACATCGTGGAAACTTGGAGAGGAAAGTCGAGAATTTAGCCGAAGGAAAAGGGGAAAAGTGATAAATATGAACGAAAGGAAAGGAAAGGTTGCACTCATCAGATTCCGAGGGCTCTGCATATTACAATTCTAAAGATAACGATAAAGATTGAGATTAAAATAAAAAAATTGAAATTTTCCCAAAGATAGAAAAAGAAAAAGAGGAGATTACTCGCGAGGAAGTTACTCGCTCATCGAGGATACACCGGCGCGGTATATATCCGAGCGAGCACAGCGTTGCCTCATGGTGCGCATTGAGCAAGATAACGCGGGGATTTTGCAAGGCTGTGTCGTTCGGATTGCAGACGGCCGTTTTTAAAAGTTACCACGAAGCGTGAAGCAGATGGGCGAGGGGGCGACCGGTGGCCGTTCCCCCTTACACCGGAAGTCGTTCTTGCGACACCTTTCTCCCCCGTTCCTCGTGCTCTCGTCCGATAGTCTTCGGAAATCGAGACGCTGATAGCCTCGCGTTACCGATGCTGCTAAAGGTCACGGGGGAAGAAACAACGCGGCGCGATGTAATTGTAAAGAGTGAATGATTTTCGCGATAAGATCGGCACGAGCGCCGTATCTACATGGTGAATTGCGCTCGCGCGTGAGAGACGAGATATTACTTGTGTATACAGTTGAAGTGGCGAGGCATGACGGAACTCAAGGTGGATTCACGCCGATGGCGTGCCATTTAGCGAACGTATGTATCGCGATTGGAAATAGAAGTCTGACGCTCAAGTTCGACACGATGCGCGTCGATTTGTCGGCCTTTTGACAAATAAGTGCCATGGGAGAGCCGAAAAGTATCGTCTCTTTCTCGAGAAACAACCGAGCGAGCCAATAATGCTCATTCGACAGAGATATCTTCTTTTCACGTGATTTCAAGTACCATCACTCCACGGGTAGGGCTGCCAAGTCCGAAAGTTAAAATTACCGGACATTTCTTCTTTGGTAAAACCCAAACCCAAACCGGACAGAAATAATAATCATAACGTTACATTAACCGCAAAATATGACACAAGATACAAGAATTTATTTACAATATCAATTTCCAAACAATTTTACAAACAAGCTTTGATTGAATAAAATAATAAACTATTACTTTCTTAATATATATGGAATGATGGATCGGCAGATCATCCACTAGATGGCTTTTCGTGGCGCTCGCGATCGTTTGCAGGCGCTTGAAACGGAGAAACGTTGCTGAAATCTGAACTCTCATTCCATTGATTGGGTTTAACTTAAAAACCGGACGTATGACGTCCGGTTTGACTTGTTGACCGGACACTGGACAAGATTTTTGAAAACCAGACAGTCCGGGTCAAAACCGAGCAGTTGGCAACCCTACCCACGGGTGATTTATTCCTAAATTATTTATGCGAGTGTATCATGGGTGATATATTGGCAGCCGACGATATGTCGAGATTGGAAATGTACGTGTCGATACCGCATAAGTTTCACTCGCGAAAAGGAAAAAGATGATACGTACTTACAAGAGAACTCGACACATTCGACGTGATATTGATCGATGGTGCTCCGTACCGCGCCGAGTACGTAACAACGATAAATCATGATATGAGGTTAACGAAATACACAACAACAACCTCGTATTAGTCCGGCATATTTTTCCCCACTTCGCTAGGAAATAACAGACTGATGCGGAATTAATATCACGGTAGTACCAGAACCACGAAACGCAAGATCAATGATTCACTTTCACCGGGGGATTATTTATGAGCGAGATGTCGCATGTGTCGCGGAATCGTCGATCGAGCGAGATTCCGACTTGCTCTTGATCGAGCTTGACGATTTACCGAGGTGCCCGATTCTAAATCCGCGCGTATATATATAATATCGACTTTAACCGGCCGCTTCGAGGTCGTTTGATCGTCGCGTAAACGACGCGCTCTGTAAAAGATAATAAAAAAAAGAAAGAAAAAAAAAGAAAGGAAAGGACATTTCAACGTTGGGTATGCATTCCAGCTTCCTTAATGGCGACGGCAAAGACTATCGCGCATTCCGCGCGCTACGTGTGTCCACGTGTGCGTGTACACGTGCACACGTGCGTCGCGTGCGCGCACACGGCTAGGAATTTATTCCAGCCGCCGCATCAGAGAGAGAGGGGGGGGAGAGAGAGAGAGAGGGGCGCTCACGCTGTGGCATCGGTATTTGACAAAAGAAAGGCGCGCTGAAAGCACCGTGGAAATGAAGATCTTTACGGCGGAAAGTAGCGGCAGCTGCGAATGTACGGCCGGATGCGAGAGATAGCGCGGAGCGGCGCGCGAACGACGTAACGAAGTGAACGATCGGAGTCTAACGGTGTTCTCTAACTGTCGGAGCGACTCGTATTTCGGTCTGAATCCACAGAAATACAATCGAAATTTTGAGAGAAGTCTTCTAAAAAATTCCCGCATTTTAATATGACCGACGTCATATTAATCCGAGTGGAATGAAACGCGCGATTTTCGTGTCACGCGTTTCTCGCGTGTATCCTCGTATATTTCGAGTTTGATCTATCCTTCGATCGAACGAATTAAACATTGAAGATTCAACGCGCGAGGAAAGTACACCAGGCCCGAGAGATTCATAATTTATTCGCAACGGCATGGAATCATCGGGCAATCCGTGATGGAATGTCAAGTTCGAACGCTGCTTGGAGAAGCGTTTGCCAGTCTTCGTTAGAAGACTTCGGGTTGTGAACGCTGATTAGAAAGTGACTCACCAGGAATGACTTCGCCGTTGAACGTCATTTCCACTAAATGTGTGACCGCTTCATGTGGCACGAACGATGCCAAGAAACGCTGACTGCCTAGCGCTCTCACGAAACTGGTAACATGTCCTCCGTTCACGAGGATCTCCAAGTTCCCGGAGCCGGCTCTCGACCCGTCGACTGACGAACAGAATGATTCTCATTATTCGGTGCACTTACACGACTTTTACAACGCACAGTCATAGATACGTACTTTCGAATTCCACCGGCTGGTTCACCACTCCGTTCGGGATATTCCCAACTTGTATAGCTCGGGCGTTGTACGCCTGCGACCTGGAATCCACGTAAAAATAGTTAACACAGATACAATAATTATACACAACTAATTTGGTTCCCGAGCAGTTCGACGTCTCGACGACATGCCTAATACGATAAAAAAGATTCACCTCGAGAGAACTTTTGGATTTAACTTTACAGAAATAGATTTTTTCTTAATTCCACTTTGAAAAATGTGTGTTTTCGCAACACAGAGAATGAAAGATGACGAAACACACAAACAAACAAACAAACAAACAAACGAATGTGTCGCGTTAATTGAGATTCACATCGAGATGAGACGGGACGAGACGAGGGTTGCGTTCGCGATGTACATATACGTACCTGAAGGGGGATCCCTTGATATGCTGGCCGTTCACCAAGACTTGGATCACGTGCTCGCCGACTTCTTCGGCGGTGATCGTGTACGTCAAGCCTCGCAGCTTCGACCTTTGCACCGGCACGCTCTTGCCGCTCGGACCTGCGTAAATGAACGAGGAACCGATCAAGCATTCGCGACACGCTCGTTGTCGCGCGTCATTGAGCGAGGAGTATCATCATTGGATCGGCACTCACCGGTCACGGTGACGGACACCTTATTGGGATCCACGGCGGAGGCGATGCTGAAAGTGGTCGGCCGGTGCACCGGCAGCGTCTCCAGCGCGCTTCCGGTGGCGACAAGCGGACTTTTGCCGGACGATACAGGCGTCGACACGTAAACGGAACCGCCGTTATTCAGATAGCGATCGTGCACGGCCGCGTCCGTCGTGTCCACGCTCTTGTTGTTGCTGTAGTAGTTGTTGTTCTTGTTCTTCAAGATACCATGCGTGCGTGTATTCTGCTGACCATCGTTGCTGTACTTTTGTCCGGCGCCATAGTCGGGACTCGATGATTTCTGGAGGGTCGAGTAACTCGTCGCAGTGTGCGACGTCGTGTTCTTCGTGCTGCTGCTGACAGCAGTGGTGGTGGTGGCGGTGGTAGTCGTGGCGGTGGAGGAGGAATAGCTCTGTGCGTTCTTGTAATTATTGTTAAGGAAGTTATTCGGGCTGCCGGCGCCGGCGCCGATGTTGTCACCGGTCGGCGAATTGTTCGTCAGATTCGCCAAGGATTCCAAACTGCCGTACGACAGCAACGAGCGCGTCTTAGCGATCGCGTCCCAGGAGTCTCGCCTGGAAGTGCCGCCGACCATCGACGACACTCGCACGTTGCTGCTGGTGTCCACGACGCCGTTGTCTTTGTCGCCGCTGCGCGGACTGAAGCTGCGATTCACCGGGCTCTGCGTAGCGCTTCGGTACATCATCGGGCTGCGGGTCGGCGAGCGCGATCTCTGGAGGGATCCTGAACTGTAGATGTTCCTGGACTCCTTGATGATGGGCGAATGACGCGAGCCAAGCGCCGCGGTCGGGCTCATGGTCGGCGAACGTGATCTGTTGAGCGTGCTGGACGAGTAGATGTCCTTGGACTCCTTGATGAAGCTGGGACTCTGCAGATTCGGTGATCTCGAGTGCTGATTGTACGAGTTGCTGTTGCCACTATATATCTCTTTCGTCTCCTTCAGTACCGACGGGCTATGCACGTTTCTTTGCACAGGGCTGTGAGTGAGGTTTGGCGAACGGGTGCGGTTGAGGGAACTGCTGCTGTGGTACATCGAGCTGCTAGAGTTCTCGTTGACGTAATTGGTAGTACTGGACGTCTTATAGGTCGGGCTGGTCTGATGGACGGGCGAATAACCGCGCTGCGTCGGGCTGATGGACTTGTACGCGGTGGACGTGTAGATCTTTTGGGTCGGACTGGACCTCTCCGTCGCGGAGATGTTCAGCCCGTTCATTCGTCGCTCCAGAGACGACACCTTGGATCGCTCCAGGCTAGACGTGGACTCCTTCGATCGCCTGGAGCCCTTCTGCGTGCCCACTCGTATGGAGAACGGCGAACCGCGGACATCCGAGCCGTTGAAGTACACGTACACCCTGTACTTGCCGGCGTCGCCGGGAACGAAGGAGACGCGATATTGCATGTGACCAAAGTCTTCCATTCTATAGGCCACTGACTGCTTGTCGTGCACTATGTCGATGATCACATCACCAAGCCCGCCAGTCCCTCTCGCGTCGACGATGAAGGAAAATGGCTGTCCGGGCATGGCGCCGTCGGTGTCCAAGAGCTGCAAATATAATTTGAATACGCTGAAAAACAATCGTGGCGCAAATCGCAATGTAATTCGTGGAAATGGAAGCTCGTTATTGTTGTATATAAATAAATGCACATTGGTTATAAATGAAAGGAGATATCAAAAAATTTTCAGTTCTTTTAATAAAACATCTCGGGGTTCTTCGCGTAGCGAAATGTCTGTGAAATGTGAATTCTAATGTCATGTTTCATGGAAATACTGGACTTTTTTATGAGATTGCTGAATTTACAGAAATTTTGTGATAGATATACCATATATATATATATATATATATATATAAGAGAAAAATTTCCGTGGCTCTACTTATAAATCGCCAAGGCTGACGAGCTATATGGAATCGTGCTATATTAATTCGCAATACCTTGATTCCGTTCGGGTCGAACACGAAGCAGGTGAAGGGGCCGCCTTGTATGTGATTTCCTTTGTGCGTTATCGCGATGCTCCACTCCCCCGTCTCGTCGGGCTGAAAAGTTGCCGTGTGCACACCGTCGTTTTCCTTGACAGGACACGGCAGTGACCTGCCGGTGGGTGACCACGCGGTCACGTCGATACCATCATGACTAGTTCCTAAAGATGTGCGAATCAAGAATTTTTATGTCGAATCAAATCGAATCGAATCTCATTTTTCAAATTCGAATTCGAATCGAATCGAATCTATGAAATTTCATTCGAATTCGAATCAAATCGAATCGAACCATTAAAAAATGTAACATGAATATCAAACGTGCAAATAATGATGGAAGATTTTAATTTGAAAGGGAATATTAATATTGTAATATTATCTTAAAATAAAATAAAATATATATTTAAATATTTATAGTAATTTATAATTAAGTTATTAATTATTAGTTAGGCTAATTACGGTAATTAAACATTATTAATTAATAATTAATTAAAAATAAGTTAAGGGTTCAAATATACAGGCCCAGATGGCCCGTTATTTCATAACTGATACGCACAAACGCTAATATATTTGATTCGTATTCGAATCTTCGCGATTCGAGATTTTCGAATTATTCGGATTCGAATCATAGGGATTCGGATTCGAATCGAGTCGAATTACATTAGATTCGATTCGATTCGATTCGAGCTCGAATAGTTCGCACATCTCTACTAGTTCCTGAGAATAAAATTTTCACATCTCGAGCGTGTTCATTGCGCAAGAGAAGGAGCGCTTTCGCGCCGATGTGTGCGACAACACGTACCGTAACTATTGACTAGAACCTCGACGATAGATCCTATGGCGCAAGGATCCATGCCCGGAGATTTGATTTTCGTTAGCGGCGGTAAAACCCTGAAGTAATAGGGGCACCCGTTCACCAGCTCGCCGTCGTTGTACACCATTAGCTGCGAACAATAGTACGTAACCATAGATGAATACCATAGGAAACATTTGAATTCTATCGTACAAGATTCTCCGCGAGAATTTTTTCGTCTGAAATTCCGCCGACATTTCAGCAATTTGTCTGCATGAGAAATTCTCTACCCTCTGTACAAAGACACTGTCCCGAGACACTCTGGAATACTAGTACGCGATAGATGAAAGTGAAATAAGTTAAAAATCTCGCGACTACGCTACTGCCACGGACCTTGTGCATGCCGACTTCCGCAGGCACGAAGGTGCCTTTGCCGTGCACTCCGTTCCACGCGAGCCTGCACTCGACGCGTCCGCTGGGGCTGATGATCTCGCCGCGCACCTCCCTTGCGTTTACATCTTTGGTCAGCATCTCTAGCTTGAAGTGTGCCTGCAACAGAACCGTATAATCTCCCTCAGCACAGCTGAGACGGGGGAGAGTGGAGCGTGATACACACAAAACAGACCCGATCGGCGGAACAGACACGGTCGCGCTGTCGAAAGCTTCGTGAATGAGGCGAACCGTCGACTGAGTGAATCGCTGAGGTTTCTAAGGCGAGTGAGCGAGCGAGCGAGCGAGCGATTACGACGTGGCGAAAATTCGTGAGCGCTGATTAGCCGTGCGAAGGAGTAATTAACAAACAATGACTTAACCAACCGGCTGTTGCGCCCGAGCGGATGTGCTGTCGATGTGCACGGCAATCTGCTGGCTCGCCTGAGGGCGAGGCTTCACCCACTGAAAGTACGCGGCGTATGCCATTACGCCTAAATGCTCTACATTCTGGTCCGCCATATCTTTCGCTTTCAGAATAGGCTCCACGCCCAGTTTCTTGCCGCCGTCGATACCTGCGAGAGGAGAATACGAGTTCGATTAGCTCACGGCGGATCGAGCGGGTCCCGTTGACGCGTCAGTTTGCAACAAGCTGGCACCTCCTTCTTCAGGATTCTCTTGCGCTATCAAATTGATCGAAGTAGGCTGTGCCACGCACGCTTTTATACAGGGTGCTAAATTTCAAACGTAACAGGTAAAAAATCTCGAAAACTATGGAAGATATTAGAAAAAGCTAAAACACACGATCCATGATTTCGGGGAGGGGAAAGAGAAGAGAGCTTTTTTGTCGGTTTTTTTATTTGGAGGACATTTTCAAGGTCAGTTGAAGGTCAACTTAATTTTTTAACATAGAAAGCCCAACTTTTTATTATATCTTCTACCAATTAGTTTTAACAAATTAGTTTTGTCTGAGACATTTTTTTATTTGCCTAATATTTTTCGAAATATTTGAGAAAAACTTGGTAACTTTTTCAACATTTAACTTACGATATCTCGCTAACTGTTCGTCGAAAGGAAAAAAATAGTATTAGACTTTTTTACTTTATTTACTATCAAGATTATATTACTATAATAGTGCTCTAACTTTTGTTAATCTAATAATTTTGAAATTTCCGAAGGTCGATACACGCAATGTCCCCCAAACTGAAAAACTGACAATGCCATTCTCTTTCCCCTTCGAAATCATGGAACACGTATTTCAGCTTTTTCCAATATCTTTCATAGTTCTCGAGAATTTTTACCTGTCACGTTCGAAATTTAGCACCTTGTACACCGAGGGAACTTGTTAGAATTAATGTAAACATTATTAAGAAAGAGATCTATGCGATCTCTCCTTCACGATATCCTTCCTGATTGTCTTCCTGATCGCGAAGGACACTCGTGACGCTCATCATGAGAGCTGCTTTACCCATTTGTAAATTGTGTTCCCAAGCGGAAGGGTCGATGTCGAGTTTCTCGTAGGGTGGCGCCGGGCCGCCCAAGTTTCGGACAACACCGCACAGAGCTCTGCCGTCGTTCCAGTCCGTCTGCAAGCGGAATAATTGAGTATCACCGTGATTGATCGCGGCCGCGTAGTACTGTTAAGCCGGGACGCCTCGGCTCCACCCACCGTGAAGTTCCGTATCGAGGTATGTGATAATTGCGAATTGACCCATCGTAGTGTTGCATGGAAGCCCGGCGAGCCCTCCTTCATAAAGTACGACAAGTAGGTCATTCCCGAGAGCTCGTCCAGGTACGGCGAAGCGAGGTAGTCCGGCTCTAGCACTATGGGAATGTCGAACTCCCGTTTCGACATCTCCATGGCCTTGCGGCAGTTGTACACGCTGCAAGCAGGATACGCCGCGACGTAGAGCGATCGCGATAACGTCCAGACTCGATAACGTTCAATACGAATTACACAAAGAAAGGAAAAAGAAAGGAAGAAGAAGAAGAAGAAGAAGAAGGAAAAATCATCAGGCCGCGGCTGAACGAAGTAACGGCATATTATCTGATTCTCTCTCTCTCTCTCTCTCTCTGTATTCCGCGTTTCCAACGCGATTTCAACCAGCTTTTCTTTCCATCATTCCCACAAGATAAGATCTCTCGCTGGGCGCCGATTGCTTTCTGAATTGCAACGGAGAAAAAAATCGCTCAAACCGCATCGGAAGGTGCGCTCCCGCGAGAATTCCACGCGCGCGTTCGCGAGCTGATTCTCTTGAACAGGACTTGGCTATCGAACATCTTGGGAGTCTCGGAGTCTCGAATCAGATAGCCACTTACTCATTCATGTCCTCGTACGCGATCACTTAATTGCCGCGCAGGGATTCTTCAAGCATCGCCGTTAGATAATCTCTCAACTATCAACGGCCTCGCCACACATTCGTCTCGCGAGTCTCGTTATTTCTCGTTATTTCTCGCTCTCTCCGACTGAGTGACGTTCGCGAACGTTTGCCGGTGGTCCGTCGGGATATTTCGCGTGTCGTCTCTCACCTGTCGTTCGGATCGAGCTGTCGCCAGTGAGGGAACAGACCCGGCTTGCAGTAGTCCAGAAGCGCGCTCAGGTACACGCCGGAGTTCCAGTCGGTCGTGAAGTTGTTGACTCTGCATTCCGGCAGGACAGCCTGAAAACGGAATAGCTCTTGGATGTTAAAACGCGGCCTGCAAATTACCCTCCCGCACGCGAACCTCCCGCCGGTTATTAGCGGCGTAATTAATACGACTCGGAGGAAGGATATGCGCGCGATGCAAATCGAAGAACGATATATAACGATCGAGGCGAGTTTGTTGGCGCGTACAAATTATACTATAAAACGACCGTTTCCCACGATTTACAGCAGCTCTGTTCTCTCTTCGGCTCAACTAGGTTGCGCTTTTTGCCCTTAAAATGAAACAAGCGTGTAATCTAGCGTCGTCGACGAGGCGCACCAGCTACGTCGGCTCAGCCGAGAGAAGTAAAAGAAACGAGGTCTTATGTGACACGTCGCGCCGCATCGATGCGAGCGATCGGAGCGAGCGCGTGAGAGACCGAAGTCTCTCCCTCCCTCTCTCTCTCTCTCTCTCCCTCCCTCTCTCTCTCTCTCTCTCTCTCTCTCTCTCTCTGAGCTCTCCGCGAGCGGAAACATACGTAATATAATATACGCACGCAGCGGTGATTACAAGCTCCGAGCGAGGTAATCGCCGCGGCGTTACTAGATTTCGTTTTACGGTCCGCGATGTGCAGCGGCCGCGCCGCGAGGTCGCGCGCGCGCGCGATGCGATTACGCGGCGTACTGACCTTGAGCCATGCGAGCATGAGCTTCCTCGGCGGGAACTTGGATTTGCCTATTTGATAGCGCACAATGAGCGACCATATCAGACCGAGGATCAGCTTCAGGTTGCCGTTCACGATGTCCACGTTACCTGAAAGCCGAGAGGAAGTCGCCTTGATTGATGGAGCTTCGCTCGCCCGGCTGCAACGCGCGCCGAACGGTACGGCGAGCGGGAAGAAAGGATCAGTTTGATTTATATCGCCGGCCTGAGAATTCCCGAGCGCTTCCGAGCTCGGGAGAGAACGCTCGCGCGCCCGCGTCGGACGAGTGATTAAATTTGCGAATTGCGGGGATTCGCGAGAGAGAGAGAGAGAGAGAGAGAGAGAGAGAGAGAGAGAGAGAGCAGGAGAAAGAAGGAGAGGAAAGTAGAGGAGAGGCGCAGTAGGCCGGGAGACTCGGTTTCGTAGCGAAAAGTCGGCGAACCCATTAAAATATACAGAAATAAATTGCAATTGTGCTAATATGTGGTTTTTTAGGTTGCTGATTCCAATTTTAGAGTCAAAATTTCAAAATTTCAAACGACGAATCCAATACGGCGAAAGATTATTTATAAAAAGAATTATTGGATATACTCTAAACGTAGCATACGGGGCTTTTTGAGGATGCTAATTACGAATCTGTATTAAATATTGCAAAATCCAAAAAATAGTTAATCCAATATGGCGGACGATTATTTCGACTTTGCTGAAGTAAAAATTTTTTAATTGAACATGGGAGATTCAGTATTATTATTAATTTGCAAAATTGTCTACGAACGATGTAAACAATAATAAATGTATGTGAGGACTACATCTATGTCTGATGATTTTGAAAGCAACTCAAGAATCTCTCGTTTGCTGAACTTCATTTTCTTAGAATAAAGTAAAAAATGGTAAATTGACATATAATGTATATATGTAATACAATAACACAGAAAAGAAATGATGAAACATAAAACATGAATTAGTTAGTTGTAAGTATCCTATTGTAATCCTCTCCCTACAAGACTCACGTAAAAGAAAATATGAGCTCAAGACTTTCATCTTGAGATATGACATCGCACTGCGATGAATGAATTCAAAATCGGCAACTTCGAAACACTATTCTTATCAGTTTGGAAACAAATTTGACAAAATCTCGAATTCTCGATAGTTTTTTAAGATTTTCTATCTTATCATGTATTCAAGTAAGTGCAACTTATGGCATCAAATATGATTTCTCTCTGGCATTGTCAAATCAAAAGGCGTATATTCAAGTTATAGTGTACATCCTTACGACCAATTTGACGTATCATATGATTGATTTCAGAGTGGAAGCTCAGAGAAGGTTTCATTTCAAATTGAACAAGTGCACTATAAGATTCGAAATTATTAGTTTTATCAGACGAAACAAAGTCAATGTGTATGTCATGAAGAACTTCATGTATTGATAAAGGTAACTTTATTTGTTCAATTTAAAAGTATAAATGTACTGCTATGACATCTGATAAGATAAGACTCATAGCAAATGGTGTATGAAAGTCATAGAACGTTTAAATTTGCAAACATAGCTTTTTACATTCGCGTCCTTCCACAAGTGATAACAATTAACATAAAGAAACAATATTTCAGCAACAATATTTGATGTAGGAAAATGTATATAAATATATAATATCACATATGCTTGATGACTTCATGCAAGTTCAAGAAACGGAATTTTGGCCAACCACAGTGGACTTCTGGCTCACTGTGCACGGGAAGGATTTACGACGACTCGACGCGGAACGAGCCGCTGGATATTTCATTTTCCACGGCTGTACGTCACGCGTCGCCCCGGACCTTCGCGCCTCTGCCGCGTGTTTGCAGAAAGCGCGTCGATATGCGAGAAGAGAGCACAGGCACAGTTTTCGATACTTCCGACGAGTGTGTTTTTTCTAACACGACAAATTCACAGTCCTGATGCAGTAAACATAGATCCTTGAGTCCTGGCTCCGTTGAAGAAAGATTTCTGCGAATCGGGGGAAAGAACGGCAACGGCGCGAAGGTACCGCACGATTCGCGTTAGTTTCATCCTCACCGTCATTATCTTCGCATTATCTCCACATTTCCCCCCCTTCGTTATCTTCAACGGTGCTAGCGGTTCCGCAGATTTGAAATGGTAAGAAGCCTTACCATACACCGCCCGCGAATTCCGCGGACTCGAGTCCGTAAGATTCGCTTTATCGCGCCGTTTTATCTGTAGCTGCGCGAGAGGAGGGGGACGAGGTTGACGCCCAGCGCGATTAATTAGGGTGAAACTCAAAGAGTAATCGCGCTCACGCTCGTCGCGCCTACTGTGTGTCATTCCGCGATGCTCTCTCTCTCTCTCTCTCTCTCTCTCTCTCTCTCTCTCTCTCTCTCTCTCTCTCTCTCTTTCTCTCTCTCTCTCTCTCTCTCTCCCTCAGATAGGTGCACTCTCACATATCTCAGGGTCTCTCTTTCTCTCTGTCCCGATATCATCAGCACACCATCGTGAATTGAATCGCACGGTAACGAGCGTGCGCATGCACAATAACGACGACGGCGACGGCGGCTTTCAGCGGCCTCGTAGGCGCCAGCGGTGCGACACAAGAAAGGCAACGACCTCGAAGTTCCGATTTGCAGGGCGTGACGTAAAGTGCGCACGTCAAAACGTAGACGGGATATGCTGTAAATCGCGATGTTCGGGACTTTTCTCTCTCTCTCTCTCTCTCTCTCTCTCTCGATCCTTCGCCCACCGTGTCACGACCTTCTCCTTCTCTTCCTGCGGTGGATTTCTTCAGGAAAGTTATTTAACTCTGCGCGCGCGATCGAGAAATCGTTTCTCCTTCGCTCCGTTTCTTCGATAGCTTCCTCGATCCTTACGCAGAGAGAGTCTTACGGTAAACGTTACCGCGTGAAACTTTGTAACGACCGAGGAACATATCAACACTCGGACGCGAGGATAATTTGTTATCTTTCGAACGTGATGTTCGACGACAACGATGACGGTCGGCGACGCCGTGCGTCGAGAAATATCGAAGGCACTCATACCGCGACGGATCCGCGAGCGAACCCGTAGACCTTCGGGCGTCGTTGAAAAACGCTTGCTCAACGATGACCCGCATGTTCGGAACGATTACGTCTCGGTTGTCGCGTGCTGACTCACGAAGTGAGGCGAGGAGGATAACGCAGCGCGCGCGTTATTATCGCCGCGGCCGCGGCCAGCCCGCAGGAGAGCAGGCATCCTCTGGCGCGGCGTGTGGCAGGTAATGGCCCGGATCGCCGTCGATACTTCCGAGTGGGGGAAAAAAGAACTCATCCTTTCGGAGCGAGGAGCACTTTCGCGATCTAATCGATGCGATCTCGCGTCCTCCTCGCGCGATAACGCAAACACGAGCCGACAATTGCGCCGCGTCAGCAGCGAAAATTAAAAATAAAGAATTTCCGCAAAAAGGGTCAATTTTTTGCCGGTTTTTCGAGTTTGGAATCGAATTTTATGCCAAAAGATCGTTCATGATGAGACATTAATTACAGAAAAGTTTTACGTTGACCGTACGATTGGTTTCCAAGATGTAGAGGGTCAAAGTGGTCACTACCTACTAAGGAAGTGTGACACTGATAACGCTTTATCGCACGAATTTTTGCAAAATTCGCTATCTATGGGTCTTTGGTTCTTTGAGTTGCTGATTGTGAATCTGCTGTTAGATTGTAAAAATTCAAGATGGCAGGTGCAACATGGCGGACGCACATAGTGGAACAATCATTTACTTTTATTGGAACTGTTATATTGTGGTTTTTTGGCTAGCTGATTGCGAATTTTCTACTAGGTTTTCGAAAGTAATCTTTTCAACGACAATTTTTGAGTGGAAAAAGTATTGTTTTTATTGTTTTATTGTTTTTTCATAAAAAAAAATATCAAATTCAAATTGATACGTTACATGATATATAAAGGATAGTTTTATTTGTTATATTCAGAAGCTTATCTTGCCTTCATTAGCTGGATAACTTTTTCATCTTGCCTTCAATGGTTGGATAAAATTTTCATCTTGCCTTCATTAGCTGGATAACTTTCTCATCTTGTCTTCACTGGCTGGATAACATTTTTATCGTGCCTTCCTTGACTGGATAACTTTTTCATCTTCCCTACACCGAAGGTAAATGTAAATCTGATAGAAAATTCGCAATCAGCTAACCGAAAACACCACAACATAACAGTTCTAATAAAAGTAAATAACCGTTTCACTATTTGTGTCCGCTATATTACACCCGCCATCTTGAACTTTTTGAATCTGACATCGAATTCGTAATAAGCAACTCAAAGCACCCATAGATACCGAATTTCGCAAAAGTGCGGTAAAATGTTATTAGTGTCAAACTTCCTTAGTAAGTAGCGACTACTTTGATCCTCTATATCTCTGAAACCAATTGTATGCTCAATGTAAAACTTTCTTGTGATTAATGTATCTTATCATGCGTCTTATCATTTCGCATAAAATTTAATTTAAAAACCGGGGACTGAAAAACTTTTTGCGGAGGTTCTTTTATGCGGGTAATGGCAATTTGGATCGCTGCGTGCGCACACGCGAGCGGAGTACATCGCCCCCTTCCTGAAGCGGATGTCGACGTCGTGAGGCGGTTCTCCCGAGTATGAGCGGCGCGGAGAATCGTCGGAAAAATCGCGGAGAGCGAGGGGAATCCGAGGAACTCGGATGAAGGAGGACTTTGTGGAAAAATCGCGCTCATTATGTCCGCCAGGGTCGGCCAATTTGCGGCCGTACCCGCGTGTGCGCGAGCGCACAATCGGGATAACGAACGGGTTATCTAATGCCACGGACGAGATAGCAGCAGACAGTTCGCGGCGAAGGAAAAGAAAGGAAAAAGACGACGGGAAGCGCGATCGACGCGCGTATGGATTCACGAGCGAGTACGCCTCGCAGCACGTTCCTCTTCCTCGACGACGCGTGAGGCGCGTTTCCAGCGATTGCTCATTAGTCGAGGAATGCGTCGCGGCTTCTTCGTACTTTGATTGCATATCATTATTAATAACTCGTCTCGGTACGCCACGGCCAGAGAGAGAGAGAGAGAGAGAGAGGGGGGGGGGAGAGGAGAGGGAGAGAGAGAGAGAGAGAGAGAGAGAGTTAATGAACATGAGTCTGCTCTTCTTTCTCCCATATGGCTGGCTCGCCAGCGATTAATGACGAGGCGCGGAGGGGAGGAGGGATATACCGCGATCCACTTGCGAAACGCAACAACGTCGTCGAGGTCAAAATTAGCAAAAAAGAACAGAGAAACGTGTCACGCGCGCGCCTATTAGTATGAGGAGAGAACTGGCGATGTTCCTTTCGATCTCTTTTAATCATCTTTTTCGACGACATTCTCGCGGCGAACATTCTCTTCTGCAAACGATGTAATACTTTCGTAGCCAGTTGGCGCTATTGTTTTAATATATCACTTCTTTTGTACAGTAGAACAGTGTTTTTTTGTAGAGTTCTGTTATAGTTATAAATTTTACTTGTAAAAACTTATGTTACGTTCATATATATCTTGAAAAAAAAATTTGTATTTGAGATTTCTAAAAATAATACAATACGTGTTGCGCGCCTCGACGCCCTTTTTACCTTTTTGTTTAAAAAGCTAAGTTTTATATTTTTACACACACACATGTATCTTGAAAAAGATAATAAATTTTGTTTGTAAAAACCTACGTGTTATATATTCCACATTGTTTCGAAATTTATCATACTGCATAAAGTTATTAATAAAAATCTTTAATCTTTTAAGTGCTACAAGCGTATATACGCCTTTTATATATTTTTTATTTATTGTTTTAGTATTTAGTATCTGTTTAGTATTTATTATCGCGTATATATATAATACACTTTGTATATTTTATTTATTTATTATATGATATATTCAATGCTTTATATGAAGCGCGCGAATTATTCAAACACCTGGTTCGGTACGAAATGAATATCACGCCGTACACGGCGGACGATTCTCAATTGAAATCGCTGCAGCTAAAAGGTTAATACGCTATTAACATTGCCTGTCAACATTGATCTAGATAGTGTGAATATGTGCATTTTTTACACGCAATCTGTTTAAGATTTATATAGAAATGATTTTTGGGAAATGTCCAGAATATTTGTTAAAAGGCAAGATATTTAGGTTAGATAGGGAAAATGGAATTAGGGCAATGATGAGATTAAGATGCGGTAATATGGAGGAAGGTAACAAGTACTACCAGATACATAGATAGGAACAGAAGAAAGAAAATGTATATTTTGTGAAGCACATCTAGATATCTAATACGGATCATTATACAGAAGTGTGTAGTAAGATAAAGGTTAGGTTTGAAAAGTTAGGGAACAAATGGCGCAGATAAAGAAAAAGATATGGAGAGAGGAATTAAGAAGAAAAAAGGAAGAAAAAAGAAGGACATTAATAAAGTTATGGAAAGAAAGGGATAGGAGATTGAGGGAAAGGAAAAAAGACAGACAAGTGTGACAGGATTAGAACAAAAGTAGAATAGAATACCGAATAGGATAATGAGGAGGAAAAAGGAAAAAAGGAAGTGTGGATGGATGGATGTATGAGTTTCAGACCACCCGGGTCACTCGATTTGTTCGTAAACGCGACATTTTAGAGAAAAATATTTCAGACAAAAGTTGTAGGGTTTATTTATTGATACTATGAATTTTACCTTGAGATGACCTTGAAAAGCTCAGTCAAGATCAACATAAAAAATCTTAAATGGAAACGCCAATTTTTTATTACACCGTCTTCTTCCACCAATTAATTTGAACAACTTCTGTCTAAGACATTTTTTTATTTGTCTAATATTTATTTTTTTAGATATTTAAGGAAAACTTGATAACTTTTTCCATATTTAACTTACGATATCTCGCTAACTATTTGTCAAAAGGAAAAGAGGTACTAGACTTTTTTGCTCTATTTAGTCTCAAGAATATATTGTTCCAGTAGCGCCCTGATTTTTGTTAATTTGATGATTTTGAAATTTCCAAAAATCAGTAAGTCATATATAGAAACGATTTCAAGTAACCGCTCGTTTCCAATTGTTTTGGACGGGTTCGTCACGGGCGTCGGTCAATAAATTTCCAGCGCAAGAGGTTAATGAGACAACAGCGTCGTGAGTCGAGCGTCAGAGGAACCTGACAAAATTCGCGGCTCCCAAGAGGAGCAGGAAGTTCGCGAACGTGGAAACTCGGCTAGATTAGCCAGTAATGACGAGAATTACGGAGAACTGGACGCTTCGGGACATATTGTGCCCGTGGACACGTGACGATCTCGCCCGTCATTCTAATTATGAGGAGTAATTGGACGTTGAGCGCGTGCAACACCTTGTTGGTTTTGCGCGGCCATGGACGTCGCTCGGCCTTCGTCTCGTGATACATTCTCGCGCACTGCGCTGCGAAAAAGCACGCGGTGGTTTTTCCTATATTACAGATCGTGTAAAATCGCTCGAACAGACTCAATTTCTCTTCGGCACGTGTCGGTCGCGCGATCCTCCGAGATACCGCAAGGTCCAAATATCCAGTCGCACGGGCAGAGAGAGAGAGAGAGAGAGAGAGAGAGAGAGAGAGAGAGAGAGAGAGAGAATATTCGAGCAAGCCGAAGTAATTAATACTCCTAACACGAATTTAACGTCAATTATAGATACAGCTGGAGCAGGTTTGCCGTCGAATCCGCTGGATCCCCAAAGACACTCACAGCCGCCGACAAAGTCAACTCGCGAACATACTCGTGCTCGTTTTTTTCTTCTTCCTCTGCTTTGGCTCGAATCGCAACTTATTAGGAACTTTCATCGCGCTTTTGACCGCGGCCGAAGCGCGAAAGAAAGTTCTTTTCTCAGATGCGCCACAGCGGAAGTTCTCATTTAGCCGTGTTATTTAAATCTTTTGATTAATGTCGCCGTCTTAATTAAGCGCCGTAATTAATGTCGATCTCACGGTGGAAATATTAGAGTTACTTCCGGCTCGCTTGAATTGGAAATCAACTGCGGTGTCCTGGCGATCCTACTTTCAGCGAAGGACGAAGGAGCACGCGGAAACAGAACTCGAGGTATCTCACCGATATTGACGAGCTTCACGCCGTCGGCTTCGATGGCCTGCAGCGCCGTGGACACGTTCTCCAGGTGGTGGTGCTGGTTCGCCGGTCTCGGGTTCCATCGCGGCAGTCGGCGTTGCGTGAGCACCTCGACCAAGGCGCAGAGACGAGTGCCGTCCCTGAAGTCCTCGGCGAGGTCTAGCACGGGGCCGCCGCCTATGTCGCCGGCGTGTTTCAGGTGTTCGTTCACCCAGTTGCGGAACGTGTTGGCCTGAATCTCCACCCAGAGATCCTCGTGGCCCTTGATCGGCATCCCCTTGGCGGCCGTTCCCTCAGCCGAGCGGGCCACCAGGCCCACCAGCTGCTCTGGTCGCAGCTGTTCGGTCGACTGCATTCTCGAGTACCTGTTGGAAAAGCGCAAAGCGTGCAGAGTCGAGCGAGCCCGGGCTCGTTAAACCTTTCTACGTTTCCACCGCCGCTACTTGCTCCGGTCTCGGATCTCGAAATTCGCATCGACGATTTCTCTTTGTGGGTTCGACCGAACCAATTTGATTTTCGCCATATGAGACACGAAACGATTCTCATCATGTCGTTACGTAGTAATTAATTAAATTACTGGAGCTAGCCATAAATGATCAGATATCTATGAGAGACTATCTCTATCTGCGAGACTCGTATTCTTATTCTTGCTAAACAAAAGTGTCGTTTACAGACCTGTAAATATGTGTTCCATTTTAAGAAACTCGACTGACTCACTTGTGGATAAGCCTGATAATTATCGGTTCCACGCGAGCTGTCACGTAAAACTGAATTTCGAGATCGACTCGAGATCGCGAAGAAGCAGCGGCGTGGCCGCGACTTTCGTTCACCTCAACATCCACGATTTGTAACGGATCGTCCCGATTAAAGCACGCACGCGAACGTCAAATGGCGAGCGATTAATTATGAGATATTTAACCGGCCGCTCTCAGCCGCGTGCGAGCCGCCGCGAGAGCGCGACCTTTGGGGTCGCACCGCCGCCCCTCCCCTCCCCCGGGAGAGGAACTCAATCTGCTCTACGAGCTGAAAGAAGCCTTGCCGCCCTTATGTATTGTGCATATTACGAAGCCGTTCGCGCGCGATTGTTACGGAGGAGGAAGAGGAGGAGGAGGAGCAGCGGTAGAATTTCGCGCGGGTGAAAGTGCCGGCGCATAGATACGTACACCTGCGGCTATGCATACCTGATAATCCGCCGACCCGCGTAATTTGTTTCCGCGTCTGTCTCGAGGCCCGTAAGGTAAACGTCCGAATGTAGGGTTGCCAGATGCGAAATGACCGGGACATTTTTTAGGTGAAAAATAGGTTGTTGGAGAATCTTAGTTAAATTTGAGAGATAGAGGGGGGGGGGTAAGACGGCTAAGAGATGCCGCTGTGCACTCGCAACAGACAAATGCGTGAAACAGCAGAGAGAAGTTTCGACATGAACGGTGTGATTATATTTTTTATCACGCGAATGGCTTGGTTGACATAAATTTTCTCAGGTGGTACATTGAAAAATTCGACCTTATAAATCGCGGTGACCGCTCTCAGATTTTTCTCTGGTGCCAGTTAGAAACATGAATGTTATGATTATGATTTTGTTGAATTCTGATTTTCCGGGTTCAGAAAACTTAAATTCCCTGGACACGGGACAAGCTTAAGAATTCCGGGACATTCCCGGAAATCTCGGTCATCTGGCAACTTTATCCCAATGGCCGGACACGTTTCAGTATCCGACCACTTTAAGAAAAAATATTTACTATCTATTTTAATAATAATGAATGAAAGTAATAATTATTGTAAAAGAAACTCCGATATTTGACGATTAGTTGGAAAAAAATATGCTCAATTTGATACTTTTGTGTTAAAATAAAAATTAATTAAATAAGTAGGCACCTATGGTTTGGCAAAATAATGGTCAATTGTTAATAAATCCATTAAGAGATGGCATCCATATTTGTATTATTCTCCGTTAGCATATAATTTTCTAATGCGGTCAGACACTGAGACAAATTATCTTCGAATATACTGGGCCATAACCTGTTTCAACTGTCCGGTCACATTGGTACATTAATGCGCTTCATTGTTTGTATAAATATTTTATTAATAATAGATATATATATATATATATTGGTTTAAATAATTTTTCTCTACTTAAGGGAATCTGAAGTTGTCGAGCAAATATTTTTATCAAAACTATTCTTAATATTATATATTGTATTTTTTTCTGACGACCTACGCTTAAACGTCCGATTACTGGGACATTTATTAGGTGTACAAATGAATAATCCAAATTAGTTTAAGCAATTATGAAATCAATTTTAAATTGAATAGATTTTCCCGCTCTTTTGTGATTATGCAATGTTGACATGCAGCTATTAAAAAGAACATACAGTTTGGCGAAAGGCCCGACATAATCTTCAAAAGTATTCAGTTCAGTACAGTCGAAAATGGCAACAGATAAGGTGCATATCCGATACTGCATTCTTTACGAATTCCAGCAAGGAAAAAATACTGCAAAAACGTGCGAATCGATTTGTTCCTTTCTCGGCGAAGCTGTTGTATCGTACGATGTGTGCGCACTTTGGTTTAAGCTGTTTAAAAGCGGTTTAAAAAAATTCAGTCTAATCGACAAACAACGCCCTGGAGGCCCACCGAAGTGCGATAATGATGATTTGGAACAACCGCTCGCTGAGAATTCGGCACAAACACAAAAGAGCTTGCAGAATAGTTGGGAGTAACGCAGCAAACGATTTCTAAACGCCTACATGAGATGGGAAAGATCCAGAAAGAAGGAAAATGGGTGCCTAACCGCATGAACTCACTGAAACCAACAAAAATCAACGAGTGGCAGCGTGTCTTTCTCTTCTCGATAAGCAGCGTCGAAAGCAGCTTTCTTGTGGAAAATCGTTACGGGCGATGAGAAATGGATACTCTATGACAATCCGAAACGCAGAAAGTCATGGGTAAATCCCGGCGAATCATCAAAATCGCTTCGGAAAGAAGAAGGTTCTTCTCTGCATTTGGTGGGATATCAAGAGCGTGCTTTATTATGAGTTGTTGGAACCGGGTGAAACCCGGCAGTTACTGCGGACTGCTACCAACGTCAATTAATCTGCTTGAGTCAAGAATTGGAGAATTGGAAAACGCCCGTATACTGGCACAGGAGAACGTCCAGTGAAATTGTTGCATGACAACGCCAGGCCACACATTGCTTCCAATACAAAAGACACCATAAATGAGTCTTGGCTGGGACGTCTTGCAGCACTTGCGGCGTATTCACCAGACATTGCTCCATCCGATTATCACTTGTTCCGGTCGATGCAACACGCCTTATCCGATCATGCACTTCCAATCAGTGGATGAGATCCGAAAATGGCTTGACCACTTTATCGTGTCCAAAGACGTAACATTTTTCCGAGATGGAATTCATCAGCTGCCTGAAAGATGGCTTAAAGTTATAGAAAGCAACGGCGAATACTTTGATTGAACAATTCAATTTACTTTCTTTTAAAATAAACCTTGAATGTAGCTGAAAAAATTGGATTTTTCATTTGTACACCTAATACCTTAAATGCCGATGCGCGACGCACGCACCGAGAGCGCACGCGAGGTGCGTTTATCGTCGCGCGTGTTCCTCGATAAAGTCCCACTCTCGGCTGATTAAAGTGTGTCCCGTCAGCCCGAGGCGCAATGTGACGCGACGCGTCGCGCAATGATTACTGGCACGCTTACTGGCGCTTGAGCATCAAAATAATCATTAACGTCGAAAGGGGCCAAACATCGCCCCTTCTTTTCCCCCCAGCCAACCCAGCTGATAGACGTTCTTAGAAGCTATATTCGAGAATGTTTCGAGAAGCGCTTTGTCGAAGAGCGTCACGAGCTCGCGACAACTTTGGCAATCAGCGACAATTGTCCGCAGTAAAGTTGTCGTCGCTGCCTCGTGCGATAAAATTTGGCGACTCGCGCGAGAGATCACCAAAACCCTCGGTAACATTAGTTATTTAAGTGGAGAAACGGCGTAAGAAAGCGTTGAAACGGAATCACGCCAATCACGACGGCACGAGCACTCGCGATGCATCTCGCGAATGCCCGCGCATTTATCTTCAAGCAACGACCGAGTGGAATTTTATCAAACGCCCGCGGTCTACTCTTTCCTTTTTCCGCGATCTACTTTTTTCTTTCTCCGGTGCTTTCTTCGGTCGCTTCTTCGCGCTGAAGCGTCTGCGTGGAAAATGTCGCTTTCGCTTTCGACGCTCCGGCTGTCCACCTGTGAACCGCTTAACCCTTCCAATCCCGTTATTCCGCCATAACGGGATACTCACTCGGAATATGTGTAATCCGCAAAATCTAAAAGTCACATGTACATCGACCATTGTTCTAATCATCCACCAAGTAATTTATAAAAAAAAGAAAAAAATGTTATTTTACGAGGGAATTCAGGGTACATGTGCTCTGTCGCTCTGATCTCGAAGAATCAGGGCTTCAAGGATTGAACTCTGTGATAGCGATAAACAATGCGACTGAAAACCGCGATCCGATGCGAACTTTCCGATGCGATCGCGAACACCGGGTTGGCGGTAACCCGAGTAGAAAATAATTAATAGGGCTCTGCTAAGGGCCTGATTATTTTTCTCTAACATTAATCGGACCCTAATAGGGATAGAAAGACAAAGGCCCTACAAGATGTGTAACAAATGGTTTAACGGATCCTTACAAGGCAATATTATAAGGGCTTTATAAGAAAATATTAACAAGGGTTTTATGAGGCAATATCAAGAGGACCTCATAGGATAATATCAAGATATGAAGTTAAAATCCATTCTAAGTTTGAGTTGAGACATTCACTCTTGTAATCGAAATATTTTTATTATTGCTTGAATAAAAATATTCGTTCTTTTCATTCCAAGAAATTTAGATTGTAATTTCTTTATTTTTTTATAATCTTGTTAGTATACAAGAATTTTTTATTTTAAAAATATAACATATTTTACAATAAAATATAGCCTCCTTTACACATAAAAATCCTGCTACTATTTTTATTAAAATTTGCTGCACTTCAAAATGAAGGTAATACTAGAAAAATCTTTGAAAGAGGCTAATGAATATGGCAACTAATAAAACTAATAAAGTTCATTTTTAATTGCGGTATAATTAAAAAATCTTTAAAAGAACCAGATAAAGCATACCTACTAAAACAATACTAATCTATGACAATTTTATTACACGTTTTCTATAACAAAACTTGACTTTGTATATCTAAAGCATCCTTAAAAGATCCTTCTAAAGCTCACATCAGTTTTCCATGTTAAAGCGTTATTTCGTAAAATCGAAGGCATTTCTAAAAAAAATCCTTTCAAGGTCCTTCTCAGCTTTTCCTATCAAAGCCTTATTATTTATTAGATCTAAGGCATTCCTAATAAATCCTTCCAAGGCCCTTCTCAGCTTTCCCTATCGAAGCCTCATTTATTAAATCTAAGGCAGCCCTAATAAATCCTTCTAAGGCCCTCATCAGTTTTCCTTATCCAAAGCCTTGTTTCGTAAAATCTAAAGTATCTCTAAAAAATCCATCTCGGGGGGGTCTGATGTGGTAATAATGAAGCATCCCTTTTTGGGGCATCCTACTTTCAGCCTTATCGAGGCCTTATGTTTCATGAAAAAGACCCTATCAATTTTTCACTCGGGGTGGGAGGGAGGACAGGAAGGAGACACCTCTATGGACACGCGCGCCTCGATGTACCATTTATGCGTAATTCGCGGCACGAGCGGCGGCGGCGGCGGCGACAGGATTATTTCATTACGATCCATCGTAGCATGACATCACTGTTGTCTCAGAGGCTCGCCCGACCGGTGAAGCTTGCGTAAGAGCGCAAAAATTTCCGGCGGCCCAGCGCTCAGAGGCCTCGGATGCATTAACGCGGCGGCTTCTTCTGAGATCTCTCTCTCTCTCTCTCTCTCTCTCTCTCTCTCTCTCGCCCTCGGGCAGCAATTAAGGACCTAATTAAGCCATTGAAAGGCCGGCTATTAATTAACCGCCGGACGGGAGGAGGACCGATTCTCCTGCACGTTGCGCAACAATGCGCGAGACGGGTGTGAGGCCGATCGCGTCGTACGCGATCTTAAATCTCGACTTGAAATTGCGAGAGGAAAGCGTAGCGTAGCGAGAAGCCGATACGATCATGAATATATAAATAAAGATAAGTAGCAATTCGACGTGAGAGAAGAGCCGCAGTGCAGAGTCAAAGTGCAACGAAGCCGATGTGGGAAGATTCGGTTTGACGCAGAAGCTCGCTGTCGGCCGGTCGTGTCGATTGAGATATCGCGCGTAGGATTAAGCGGCAAGGATCATGCGGAGTAGAAGGAAAGATGCTTAACCCCTTCCGTCGGAGTCGCGTCTCCTGGACGATCTTCTGTTTACGCGTTCAAATCGCCCGTCTCTATTACACGCTTGATGCGATAATATCATGCACGCCTTCGTCTTATTCAAACGTCAATCTCAACAGACGTGTGGCACGCTGGAAAAATCTCAGTTTCTATCACAAAGCAGAAAGTGAAGCAGGAGGAGAGAAGAGAACACGAGAGACAATATCATCTCTGTTATCGCGACGGGGGGAACATTCGCACGAAATGTTCGCTCGAGACAGCGGAGAACGAGCTGACCAAGCAGATTTTATCATCTGGTCCGGACAGCGGAAAATCAGTCGGACGGAATAAATGCTTTTCCCCGCGTGCGTGTCTCAAACGTGAACGAGTGTCAGCTGAACGTCAATGCAAGGGGTTTATCGGAGGCCAGACAAGTCACAACAAGGATCACCTTGGCGCGCTCGAACGACACCCGCGAGAATCAAATTCACTCGACGACACACACACACACACACACACAAGTCAGCGTGAGCAACTTTCACCTCGCTCTCAAAATTGTCTCAGGACGCACGCACGCACGCACGCACGCGCGCACGCACAAGCGAGCGCGCTCGCTCGCTCGCGGATCCCGTTCGCGTCATTCACGAGAGTCCGGGTGAACGTCGGCGGAAATCTCGCGATTGATCTCCACAGCCGACCGTATTCCATTCATTAACTCGGAGAGACGACGGAATTTTGCACGATCGATGGATCGCGATCGAGATCACGGACAGCGCGTTTTGGTGCAGATTCGCTCGAAAGAGAAGAAGAAGAAGAAGAAGAAGAAGAAGAAGAAGAAGAAGAAGAAGAAGAAGAAGAAGAAGAAGAAGAAGACATGGCGCCAGACAATGCACAAATTTGGTGAAAGCGTCTTAAGGATGTCATCAAGATGCCTAAGAGACGTTTCAAGTATCTTAAAGACGTTTCCTAGAAATGTCGAAAGTTTTCTGAAAGAAGAAGACGTAAGACGTCTTTCAGACGTCTTCAGACATTTTCGGGACATCCTTCGGGAATTTCTGCCGTCCGAGGCGAAGAGAGAACTCCATTCATCAGAATCCGCTTTCATTGGGAAACGTCGAGACGAATTTACGAGGTGCATCTTGCCTTGCGGATCTCTGCGGTTTTACGAATCCTTGACTCGCGGCATGAAAGTTCGATCAGATTAACCACAGATTAACCTTTGAATTCCACTAGTCGCCGAGAGCTCTTCGCACTGCGACTTTTCAGAGAGAAAAAAAAACGACTGAGAAAAAACCGAGTTCTTTATGCAAGATGACAGCTCGAGACCCGGACAGAACAGAAAATCATGATGACATCAAAATGACGTCAAAATAAGAAGGATTTTTTCACCATGATTCGATTATTCTCTCGTCATTTTAATGTCATTTTGACGTCATCATGATTTTCTGTTCTACCTGGAGATCTCCGTTATGTCGGAGTCTCTTAATTTTACGGAGTCCGAGTTTGGAAGACCCTTGGAAAAGCGCGTTTCTCAGGTCGTCCTTGATCCGCGGTACCGTAAATTCCCAGTCACGTGAAGTCACTTCGTTGTCTTAGACGCCGAGGAATTTTCAACTCGGGGATCCTCGATCTCGCGAGTCATCCAACTCAAGGATCGTCGGCACCGTGGATCCTGTGGGTCTTTGCGTCGCAAGTTTCACAAGCAGTACGGTGTCTCAATCCCACGGACTCTCGAGTCGAAGAGCTCCTCGTCTCAGCGAGTCCTGCCGCCTATTTCATGCTTCACGACCCTTCGACACCGTAAATTCCTGACCGCGCAACCGTTCGCTCTCGTCGACTACCGCGTCCGACACCGAGCATCCTCCGTTTCGCGATCGCTTCGGCACTCACGACGACCTTTCATCGTTTTCACCTCTCGTGGATCCTCCTGACGAGCGAAGCCTCGTCGTGCATCCACTCGACCACGCAGTGTCGAGTCCACGTACAGATCCACGACGTCGTCTTCGTTCGCGGGATATCGCGTGGACGCAACCAACACACACACACACACACACACACACACACACACACATGCACCATCAACCCACGTAAAGCAGGAACGCACGGCACGCGCGGCTCTGCTATATTTACGTCGGTTCTTCCTCGTAGTGGCGGCCGCTGCCAGGTCCACCGGATGCAGCAGGTCGCTCGGCGGGCTCGAGAGCGCGGATCACGACGACGTCGGCGGGCACCGGCTGCGCGGACTTGGCGGTCGTCGGCGAGCTACGCCGCGGGGAACGCCATTTTTGGACGTCGACGGGTACCGCGCCGCGGCTCCGTTGCGTTGATGAGTGTTCGACGTGCGTGAGCTCACTGAACCGACATGGAGAGCCCTCTCCTTCTGCCGCTGCCTTCCCGGCAGCTCGATACGATCGCCTTGTGGGACCGTGGGGTCCGCCGCGATTGTAATAGGACCAGGGACGTAACAGCGGGCAACATGGCGCTTGCAGGTGGATCCCCCTGGTCTCAGCGCGAATCGCGAGAGTGCGAACGCGAGACGATCCTGGCAATCCTTTTCCCCTCACAGAGAGGCGGTCCCTTCATGCGATCGTTGATCAACTGTTCAAGGCGCGATGCGAATCGCGAGTCTCGGCTGGTTAAGACTCTCACGAGCCCTGAAGAGGTGAAGCAACACCGCCTGACGAAGATGGATGCGCCGTCTAATGGCACACGAAGCGTCGTACAGTCGTTAATCATCCTCGCAAAAGGCGTCAATTACAAAGGCGCGGACATGAAGACACCGTCATTGATCCTGACTGAAATGCGCTGCGCAATTGAGATTCGCGCAAATGCGTCCCTTCTTCCTCGTCTCGGCTGTGTGTGACGGAGCGACGCGGCCAAAACAACGCGAGTTCGTGAGTCTCTCGCAGGTCTCCTCGCGTGGTACTTCCCTGAATCCTAGGCAACAGCAGCGAGCGAAGGCTCGTTCCGCAAGGTGGTGGCACCTGTCGGAAGCAAAATCGTCGTGTTGCATAGGGACAGGCGTCCGCACCTGGCGAGGCTAACTGCGTTAATGAATGCGCCGGTGTTTGCCTCGCGCGCGCGCGCGCGCGCGTTCGTGACGTCATGGCTACTCTAATCGGACGAGAGTAGCTCGTCCTGCTCGTCAGTAGCGCGACACCATAATAGCGCGCTAACGTAACGGCGTGTCAAATCGTAAGAGCCGTTTATCCGTCACCGCAAGAAGATGGACGCGCGTCGCCGGCTTTTGCCGAGCGACCCCCTTCAGTCAGACCCTTCAGAATTCCGCGGGAGTGAAGCTCACGATCGCGCGCTGATTCGCCGTTGGTTAATCCTTTCCCCGTTCAGCTACACTAGTCCCTAGCAGTCGGATCGGCAAAGTGGATCCTCGGACAGGACTTAGGCCCGGTTGTTCCAACTTCTTGGTAAGTTAACTGATAGTTAAATCATGTGTTTGTCTTTGTCTTTCCTTCAACTTGGACAAAGACAGACGTGATGATTTTAACTATCAGTTAACTTAACCACCCCTTAGGGCCCGGTTGTTCCGACTTCTTGGTAAATTAACCGATGGTTAAGTCATACGTTTGTCTTTGTTTCTCCTTCAACTTGGACAAAGACAAATATAGGGCCGGGTCAGGGTCGGTTGTTCCAACTTGTTGATAAGTTGACTGATGGTTAAGTCATACGTTTGTCCTCCTTAATTCCTCCTTCAACTTGGGACAAAGACAAACAAATGATTTAACCATTAGTTAACTCACCAAGAAGTTGGAACATCCTGTCCTTTATCGAGTCGAGTTCGTTCAATCCTCCAGCCTGAACCGCAACGCGTAAGGTCGCGCCCGAGAATTCGTGACGCTCGCTGCCGGAGACTTCAACCTCCTATCCACGCAATTTCGCGAGTGATCTCCCTCGATCGGGCGTTGATATCTCCGCAGGCGCAGGCGGACGCGCCGGACCAAAAGCGCAGCCCACGCTCTCGGCACGTGTCGAAACGCTCTAATTCGCCCGCCTTTGTAGCGACGCGATGACGGACACAATGCCCGGCCGGTGGCTCGGCTGGCGCGGGGGAAATACGTTGCGACACGAGAACGGTATTTTGCATCGCTACGCTGCAATCGTCGGGGAAGGAAGACCCCGGCCGGCGGATTCGCGCGAGCTTCCCGACGTGGACATCCCGCTGCGACATCGCGCTCTCGGCTCGGCGGCGCCTTGTGATCGCCGTGAAGATACTTGAATATAATTAAATTAAATCGAGCGGTCGATTTGCCGCTCGATGAAGCCGCGTTAAAAGTTAATACAAACGTACAACGTGTATAAATAGTTATGAGTAAAGCTGGTCGAGTAAATCTGGCACAAGGTTGCGAGTGGCGGGCTGCCAGCGCGGCTTGCCACTGTGAGTTTAGTATCGTGTTACTGGCTTTTCTCGCCAAGTCAACGCGTCGTACACGTCATTTCGCGAAGATTGATCCCCGGCTAATGGAAGCGCGCTGATCGCGCCGCTCTACACCGCCTTTCAAACCGCGCCGCCGCTACGCGTCGCGTCGCGTCGCGCGCCGAAGAGAGAGCCGAGACAACGAGAGTGTCTCCTGTTTATCTTTATCTCGAGTACCTGATTGTGAGTTTGTCTCTCTGCGACCTACCATCAGTAGGTACAGCAGCTCTCGTCCGCACCGATGAGCTTTGAAGATTCGGGGCTCTCGGGTACTTGGACCCTTCAAGTCGTCTTCAAGACGGTTCCTGTGACATCCCGTACATCTGCCGTATCCCTCGGCTCTAATGAGGCCAGTCGATTCGTCGTCGTCGTCGTCGTCCTGTGCTAAATCGGGCCCACCCCGCTTATATCGCATACATGTTCGTTTCGTACAATCACTTTTCTGATAAATGTCACAATCATTCATGACTATACGATCACACGCGCGACCCTCGGATGCGGCTCGCGATTCGCCTCGCGCGGGAGCGTTTATTTCGGAAAGTTAACTGACCCGCGACGCACCGCGTCTCCTCGAGGAAAGTCAACCAGGACTTCCAGTCCAGAATGCTAAAAAATATCCGGAGAGGACGAGCATGAGAGGAACCGAAATACACCGATCGATGATTGATCGCGTTCCCAGGCTTAAAGAAGTCGACTTCGCGGACGGTGCATCATATCCGAGAAAAACTCGTCTAGTCACGGAGAGCCGGACGGGGATCTAAAATAGTTTACGTGCGGCGTAGACGAAGGAGAGAGAGAGAGAGAGAGAGAGAGAGAGAGAGAGAGCCATGCGAAACGTCTCGGACGTTTCGCGCACGCTCGCCGCTTGCTCTCAACTTGTCGCGGGAAAGCTCCGAGAAGCGCGAGCGGCCGCTCGCGCAAACAAAGGTCGGCCACGACGAGGGACGCGTGGCCGGCGCGCGACGGGTGTGCGGGCTTTCTCCGTCTCCGGCGTTTCCCCGACCGATCGTCTCCGGCCAGGGTGGCTCGGTCACTTGCTTTTTGACTTACGCACCGTATCAGTTTCTATATAGGGTTTGGCAGGGCGCCGGCGCCGCGCTCTATAAATAGCGGGTGCCAGCCGCGCAAGCCGCGCCGAGAGCGCGAGGACAGCCTCAGGCTGGCCGAGGGTGCGCGAGGGGAGGGTGCTCGAGGGGGCGAGAGTGGGTGGCTGTGGCAGTGGTTACGAACGGCGAGGCGGCGCGGCAGTAGTAACGGATAGTAGTCTCGCGGCCGGTAGTAGTAAACGGCTGGCTGGCTGGCTACTCCTCGCGCGCGCGACCCTTCCGCGCGCGCTCCGGACGATCAATCGAGCCGGCGAGAGAGAGAGAGAGAGAGAGAGAGAGAGAGAGAGAGAGAGAGAGAGAGAGAGGCACGACGCGAAGCACGCGAGGAGCAGCGCGTCGTTCGCTCGGAACTACCTCGGACTCGCTCTCCGGGGAACCTGGGGAATTCGCGGAGATCGCGTAAATGCGCCGGGTCGGACGGTGGACGACGAGCAAGCCGGAGAGGGGAGGACCGGGGCAGGATCGGCAGGAGGAGGTGCAGGAGGACGACGACAGCCGTCGGACGACAGGAGACGTCGACGAGGCGTCACGACGGCTACCGAGAGGCGACAGAGTCTCCGGCTTGAGGATTTTGCTCGAGAACTCGCGGCGCTGTCGTAAGAGGAGGCTGCGCTCTCGAGTCCTCCAGGGTGAACGGCAGCCGAGTTGGAGGTTCTTCGGGGTGGTCATCGGGGTACCGGCGGTTTAGGAGTGCGAGATTCGTCGTGCCTCGACTATGTGCCGGCGTCTCGAGGGTATCCGGCTGCTGGGATCGTCGCCGGTGATTGTGCGCGGCATCGTCGCGACGGAACGCAAGACGTGACTCCGTTCACGCGTCAGCTGACCCGACGAGGTCGCGGGAGACAAAGGCGGAAAGAGGTGATTATATAAACGGAGCGAGCTGGAGATCCGCAGAAGCGGATCCAGCTGCTTGTTTGTTCTTCTCCGTCGTCGTCGTCGTCGTCGTTGTCGTCGTCGTCGTCTTACATTCGTCGTACCGTTCATGGCCAGACCGGTGGATTCCCTCCCCGGCTCTTAAAGAGAGACTAATTATATTCGCGTGTGCGACGAGGTTACTAACCAGCCAACCCTCCGGCCTGCGCCTGCGTGTATAGACTGAGTGTCTCCCCGAGGGAGGGAATACGAATGCGAATAACGTTCGACTCGCGAGAAGCGGAACTCTTGTCGTTGGATCGACGTCGAAAGACTCGACGAGTCGCGGTTCGCCGGTCTCTCGGTCACTCTGTGAACAATCTGTTATAGGCCATATCCCCGGCTTCCAAGTAGATCTCGCCGCCGAGATATATTAGCAGCGAAGATTCGAACTTTGAAACTTGGACGATGTTGAATCGAGATTCCCAAGTCAAATCCAAAAGACCGCGACCTGAATCGAGCATAGAGAACTTTAGTAATTAAAGTCCAATCCGGGACCGTGAAGAATCTGAAGTGATTCAAAGATTGGCAACTTGGACATTCCACCGAGAGATTCCACGCGATCAGTAATACTGATTGCGTTAACAATCGTTATACGAAGACGTTAACCCTCGACGCGATCCGAAAATGTTATTAGAGATAAGAATCGTCTCTGCGACATCGATAACGCGTTCGTTCGACTCGTTCGATCGGTCACTCCAATGATAGGTCGCAATTTATTATCCAGAGGTAATAACTGTCCGTATAATCTAAAGACATTACCGGAGGATAATAATCGCTAATACGATTGACAACGCATTCATTTCGATTCGATCAACCGCGTGGACTCCGACGATCAACAGATTGCAAAGTAGTAGCGATCGGGACGAGCGAGTCTCAGTTGTGTGTCGTGATGTACGCGAACGTACCGCGACCCACGATTTATGGGCAGGAGAGAGAGAAAGAGAGAGAGGAGGGGGGCGGGGGAGAGAATGATTAGGCTCCTCCGATTGGATTTATTTTACGATCGCGCCACTTCGGCACGTCCATCACGCGTCCATATCTTTGACATATCACGCCAACTATAAATTCAAATCGATCAGCGAGCTTTCAAAGTGCTCTTCGGTTCGCTCGGACTGAATGCATCAAAAATCGCTCGTCACACCGGCTATTCCTCGGCTTTCCTCGCGATAAACCGACGCGACGCGCGCTTCGCGAGCAGGTTCGACCGCCACTTGAATTCTTCGGAAACACGAAACATCTCTGCACGCTTGCTCCGCAGGTTCACGATGGCTCTCGTGATGTTACCGTGCGACTTGCCCTGGTGGCCGGCCGTAGTGAAGCAGCTGGACAAGGCCGCCGCAGCCAGGAAGTCCGAGGAACTGATAGACGCGATGCAACGGCTACATGACATGTGCAAGTACGTTATCAGGCCGCGTTATCTGTCATCGTTGTTGTGGAGTTGCAAGTTACTTTGCAGCGAGATGACAGGACAGATCGGCGCGATCTGTGCTCTGGCATTTTTTTGATGGAGGAATAATTGTTTGAATCTCTTCAGCATAAGCCTCGATCCCGAGGAAGACGTGCAGGACCCCGACCTGTTCGCTGAACTGGCGAGCTTCCTAGACAAAGATCTCGAGCTCGCGGAGAGGGAGCAGGTGTTCACGAAGACAATACCGCGGATGGTGGAGAGGGCGAAGGCTCTGAGAACTACGAAACCGCCGCAAGGTTTACACTTTAGCTTACAGCAGCAAGGTTAGCCTCTGCGAGATTCCCCGGACAAGTTCCGCGGCGAGATGTCGCGAGATGTCCCGAAGAATCGCGCAATCAACGTGTACTCGAGAGTTTGTTTATTTGTCGCGCAGGTGATAGCGTCGAGTACAGTTACGCCTTCGTCTCCTCCTTAATAGCGAACGCGTTCTTCTCGACGTACCCCAAGAGAACCACCAAAACCCACCCCACGTTGCGCGACTTCAATTTCACCAATTTCTTCAGACACCTTCACAAGTGAGTAGCTTATCGATTGGACCGAATACTCAAGGGGAAAGCCTAGCGAATGCGTATAAGAAAGAGGAATAAGAGGAAGCAAGAAGTCGCAAGTTTTCGTACTTTCTCCTTTTCCAGAAACGCACAGAGAGCTAAGCTCAAAAGCATCTTTCACTATTACAATTATCTCGAGACGGAGCATGCGCTCGATGGCCGCCTGATAATTTCCAGACAGGTACTCGTGATGATTCGACGCTTTAATTTCAACAGTTAATTTCTAATAATCGCTACGACGAGAAATCTTGTCGAATTTTCGTCCGATAGTAGTCGCGCGTTACTCTGAGTTACTTATCGAAACTCCGTACGTTTTTTCGCGATCGAGCGAATTTGGATTTCGGTATCGCGCGGAAAACGCCCTCGATCGAGTCAACGGTATCTCAGTGCCTGCAATTCGCAGGTGATGACGTCCAAACAATGGTTGACTATCGAGGATTGGTTGGAAAGTAACGTACCTCTGTGTCCGTTAACGATACGCCACGAGGGACGGTTGGAGAGGATGGAGACGGAGTCGAAGATGCTGCAGGTTTGCTTTGCGAACGCTAGAATCGGCGGTGGAGTGCTCGATGGGGATGTCACGCAGGAAACTGTGCATGTAAGCAATCATCATAAACATTTAGATGTGTGACTGTGGGCCGGTTTTTCAATAATGGTTTAAACTTAGTCGATCGAAGTTCAAATTCTGTTCAAAAGCATTAGACTGTTCAATCACCAACTGAAATGTTATGTACTGTACTTTACTGTAATGTTGATATATGTCATATAAATTAAATGACACATAGAATATTTTTCAATTATATTAGTTTTATCTAATTAACTAGTTGCAAAATATGGTGTTTATAATGAATATTATACGAATAATATAAAATTTATTTATATTGTATCTTTTTATTTTTTTCAGAAATCAGGCTTTTTTAGTATGTATGAAATGACATTACTAACATTAAAATTTTATGCTAATGGATCTTGATAAGCGTAGGTGATTTTATTAGTGTTCATAAAAATGTAGCCAGCAAAGTAATTAATAAAATTTCAAGGGCAATTGCTCAACTTAGATCTGCATATGTAAAATTTTTGAATACAGAAGAAGATATTCAAAGACTGCAAGAAAAGTTTTACAATATTGCGAGATTTCCACATTGTGTGAGTGCTCTAGACTGCACTCATATTAAAATTAAATCTCCACGTGTCTAAAAGTGACCCGCACAGCGATAACTTTTCGTTGCCAACTTAAGAACAACAAAAGTTTATCTAAACTGTCTTCAGCGTATGCTTGAAAAACACACAAGATGTAAAACTAGGTTTGTGGATCAAGGAAGGATCAGATAATCTTTAGTTTAAATCACGATTGAAAAGCCGGCCCTTAGTGTATAAAAGGTTGGAAGGACGAAAGTGGAGATGGATAACTACCTCTCTGTCCTGCGCGCTGCGTTTATGATCAACATGGAAATTGATAGAACGTTTAATCATCTATTTCTACAGCTACGACGCTACTCGGTGGCTTCGTGGATCGTCCGTTCTACTTTAGCTTCGCTTTTCCTCTTTGAAGAATCTAAAATTAAATATGATTGTTCGATTACGTTCTTTTCCTCTTTCTTTTATCTCATCGTTTCTTTCGTATTCTGCCGACGAGGAAATTGCGCGAAATCGCCCCCCCTCTGACCAATATAAATAAACAAATAAATAAAAAAATAAGTAGATGAATAAAATAATTATGAGATAAGATTTTAATATAAGAGAGAATAAGATTAAAGCATAAAATAAATAACTTCTCTCAGGTGGCGACGCATCCCGAGATGCTCGCCGCGATATTGTCCGTCGAGGCCTTAGAAGACAACGAAGTACTGATAGTCGAAGGTGTGAGGCACATGTCGAGGATAAACGATCCGCGGCACAAGGCGATCTTCGAGGGTATCCCGAAGCCGAACGTGGTGAGTAGCCGCGTGCGCGCGTGTGCGCGACGGAGCCATGTGCCGTTCGCGTCGGCGACACGCTTGGAAAACGAGAGGGGTGAACAATCGTACAGTTTCCCGAGCGCAGGTCACGGTCTGCTGCATAGACCCTGAGGACTACTCGCAGTTACCGCTGACGCAGTTCGAGGAGGACAACATTTTGCGCGAGATGAACAAGTCGCTGCTGGGTTTCCGTCAGCGGCACGTACCCAGCAGCCCTACGGATCCGATCAAGACGGACTCGGAGGCGGAGATCGGCCTAGGTTCACGTAGACTATCGCCAATCGGCGAAAGCTTTAGCAGTACGCCGCCGGAAACGGAGGGCGAGGACAAAGTCTACGGTAATATCAAGAAAGGTGGGGAATAACGCGGAAGAGGACAGAGAGAGAGAGAGAGAGAGAGAGAGAGAAAGAGAGAGAGAGAGAGACTCGTGCGACTCACGTGTGATTCGCTCGAGCTACATTTCGCACGCTCGTCTTGTGATATTGTATATTACCTCCATTTTTTCTTTCTCTCTCTCTCTCTCTCTTCTTCTTCCTTCTTTCCCATCCGGTAAACAGACAAGCAACCCCCGCGCGACGACTGCGGCAAATTAGACGGCGCGACGCAGGAGACGCGCAGCAGGCCTAACGGTAAATCGATGAGACCGCCGAGCCCGCACAAGATGTGCAAGGACGCGAGCTGCACCAACAACCGCAGGAATCGCTTCATCGTGCTAGGCTCGAGCGGCGAAGTGCTGCCGGTGACGCGCCAGTCCCTCGGCCAGATGTCGGTCTACAGCAGCTGCAACAGCCAGAGCACCGACAGCTTCCACAGCGCTAAGGAGACCATCGACGAGGAACCCGGTGCGGCACACGCGCGTTTTGTACGGTGAAAAGCAAAATACGTCTCGCGCTGAAAGCAAATACGTTCACGAGATAAACACTTTTCAGGGGAGGAGGAGCACAAATTAACGAAACGTTACAGCGCACAGCTGGACACACCCGAGAGGCGAGGGACCTTCGCGCAGCGGCTGAAGGACGCCCTGAAGCGGGAGAGCACGGCGACTGGCGCGACTTCTTCCAACACCTCGTCCGGCGAGAGCAGCTACGCAGTGGGCATCAGCGTCAGCGGTAGCCACGTCTGCGATCAGGACATCAAGTGAGTCGGTCGAGTACTAAAGGAGTCCCCCTTTGCGGGATTCGCGAGGACGCTCGCGTTATCCTCTCGCAAATCAAACGATTCCTGAATAACGTGCACTTTTGTAACGCGTTTCATCATATGGGATAAATTCTGTGAGATCAAAGTGTTGATTCTGGACATTCTTATCGCTTGATCCCGATTTTCCGGACTAAAACAATAAGGATGTCCTTCCTCTCTTCCTTACGACACTTACTTGCGGTCGTCATCGAAACTGGATTTTACCAATGAGCGCGACGTGTTGCAGGGTGAAGAGAGGGGGCTCGAGGGGCTTCGTCCTTCGCGACGAGACGGTGGACGAGGAGTTTCTGAAGGAATCCTTGGAGGCCGAGCAAAAGTGGCTCGGCCGGTTCCGGCAGAGTCAGGGGCCTATGTTTCAGCGGAAGGACACAAGTGCGAGCAGCAAATACAGCTTCAGCACGGAGTACAACTCCGGCGAGTATTCGAGCGAGCGGCGCTCGCGCTCTCGAGTTAATCGCAACAGAGGGAACTTACGGCCGAACCTTGTAGATTTCTGCTCCGAGCTGGAGGAGGTCTACGAGCAGCTGTCCAAGTGGCTGGAGGACCCGATAGTGGCGGACGAGAGCGGCGGTCGGGAGCTGGACGCGAGGGACCGAGCGGTGGTGCGATTCGCCGGTTCGCTCCTCAAACGTGCCCTGAGCGAGTCGTTCGCCGGTGTGCCGGTCCAGGAAGGAGAGCCTCAGCCGTTCATTGACTCCAACGACGTGAATCAACGGCACAAGCTGGCATTGGCCGTGAGGAGTCTCAGCCTGGAGCTCGCTCGCCAAAAGAACCGAAGGCAGCAATCAGTAAGGACATTCAGCAGATTCTTATGGAAGCGTCAGCTCACGGCGTGTCTCACGGCGACAGAACGGCTGAATTAGAGGGAGATACTGAGCTCTCAATTCGCGGCGAACCATTCGCGCTCGAGGTATCATTTCCTGACTCTGGAAAAGCACAAAGTGGAGAGACTCTTGAAGAGAGCCGGAGAGAGTCTCGCTTATTTTCAATCGCTCAACGATAATTAGATATGCGCTTCAAAATATGACAATAGGCGGTAACACGTGACGAATTCGTTGCTTCCCTTCCGGTTGCTTACTTTTCCGGAGCCAGAAAATGACAAGCGAGTCAATAGTCTTCACTTGCACGCTTTACTCGCTTACTAAAGCGTTGACGAGCGTTGACGAGCGTTTCCTCGTCAATACACGCGAACAGATATCCTCGAGCACTCGTAGCGCGTATTAAGATGGAATGAGAGACAACCCGGGTGGCTTCGCTCGAGAGAGCTAGCAAAAACGAAGCAAAACTGGTCTCTCAAAACGCGGGCTAATCGGCGAACGAAACGAACGCCGGGATTCTGAGTCTCTGAGACTACAGGCGCGACATGCTATATTATACAGGTGTCTGAGTCGGAGGGTGTAGATCGCTACGAGGACGCCTCGTGCGACACGGTAAGAGAGGCGAGGGACTCCCAACGTAGGAAACTTTGGGCCGTTACGCTCACGTCGGAAGTGTTCCAAACATTGGTCGATGATCAGACCACCGTCCTCCTGTGCCCGCCGGGACCGGCGGCTCCCGGCGCGAACGCGTCGAGCCTCGTCGACGCCTCGAGCCGAGCGGCGAGCGCGAAATGCGCTCCGGGTGCACTCGGTGCCGAGGTGATTCTGAAACTTCACCCGTATATATCACGTGTAATCGCGATTGCATGAGGCGGCGACTGTGTTTTTTTTTCCTGTTCTCTTCTTTCTCCGCCGCTGTCATCTGTATCTGAGAGAGGAGCTCGAAGGACGAGAGGGGGGAGAGAGGGAGAGAAAGAGAGCACCCGAGTGTCCGATTTTCTGGAATGTCTCCGCGTCTGTCGGATGTGAACATGCTCTTCGAGACTTGAGAATTGTTCCCTCCGCTGCGAGACTCTCACCGCTGCGATGACCGCTCTTTCCTTCTTTCTTCGACTCGGTGCATGCCGGACGAGTGGTATCAGCTTGTCTCTCATCTGACACATTTCAAGATCCTCGCGACTAATCATCTTTATACACTACACATCTTGTTGCCTGTCTTTCGGCCCGCTCGACTTTGACAATTCTCTCCGCGCTCATGTCTCGCGCTTCTTCGTTCTTCTCGATGTTAACCGCCGCCGTTCGGGTCGCTCTCTTCGGGCTGACTGCGACGCGGTGTCCACCCGGTGTCCTTCCTTCGTGCGAGACTAAAACAGAAATAACATGTGGCTCAGCTTCTCCTCTGTCGACTTTAATACCGTTCGATAATCGCATCGCCAGCGACGATTCGAAATATCTCGTCGTCTTTACTAACCGCAGTGTTCCCTGTGTATATCAGGGAGAGAATACACGTAGCGACGTGTAGGGGCGAGATAATCGTTTACAGATCACGCGTTACCTGTGTGCGTAGTTGCCGCGCGAGAACAGTCCTCAAGGCGGAGGGATGCTGCCGGTGGCTACCGGTAACTGGGGATGCGGGACTAGATTGAAGGGTGACCCGCAGCTCAAGTTGGTCATCCAGTGGCTCGCATGCTCGTTGGCGGGCGCGCCCAGACTGATCTACTACACTTCGGGCAACGCCAGTCTGTCTAAGGTGAGAAACAATGTTAGCAGCTGCTTAACGCCCGTTGTTCGCGAATCGATATTGAGAATCTGATTACTCCACGGATAATTGTGATCCCTCAACAACCGAAACACCCACAGCACAAGACATCCTGAGTCCTGACCTTGAAGTCTGTACTCAGGGTGTCCTAAAGTATTCTCCAGTACATTCTGGATATTCAGTGCTGTCTGATTGATAAATTCCCAACAATATTATTGATATATCAATTGTTCCATGGATATCATTGGAGGGTTCCTCTCCAAGATATCAACCGACGAGCTAACCAAACGAGCGATAAGCATTTCTCTGCTAGTCTTTTCATCTCAATTCTAGTTAAATCCCGTGTGAAAGAAACAATAAGTGTTTTCCCATATAAATAAAAGTACAAAATGTTACTGTGTGTGCGTGTTGGTGTACAGACACTCGCTGTTTGAGAGTTGAACAGCGTGCAGTCGTTCAGTAATCGACGCTGACATTCCAGCTGGACACCGTGAGCAGAGTTCTGATGGACAGACGTTGGTCAGTGGGTGACCTGGCGGCCGCGACTCTCAGGTTCGCCGTGCAGGCGATCGAGGAGCGAGTCGAGGGCAAAAACAGCCTCTTCGAGGAGATAATCGGCATGGATAAGCCGAGTCCTTAGCCCGACACGATGCTGTCCGTTCTGGTGGACATGCTGGCTACTATGATCGAGGACGGCCTATTGCGAACCTAACAATGTATATCACAATGTATCTCCTTCGCGGGGAGAAACACAAAAACAGAACGGGTATTTAACTGTAGCGACGCAGAATCGAGGAAACTATTCTAACTCGTACAAGCGTAGCTTTAGATGAAACGTGTTATATAAACGAGTTTAAACGATTACTCATAACAGATATCGAGTCTTTAGAGAGCCTTGTTTTCGTAGAAAGACGGAGAGGGAGAGTCTTCCCCTCTCCCTCTCTCTCTCTCTCTCTCTGCAGTCATTCTTTTGTTTGTACTGTTTACTCGTCTAGCATATCAAAATGATATCAGGTAAACTTGCACAATTCATCGTACAAGGCAATATATCAAATAGAGAGACGCTAGCGTAGTGTCGCTGCGATATTTTCTAGACTATAAATGTAGAAGCGTTTGTCTGTCGATGCGATTCGCACGCCTAGAATCGCTCCCGCGTTCCTCCAACAAGCGATGGGCGACGGAGATTATATACTATAATACCGGAAGTTCAGTTGTCGGTTAATATCATTGTCATGGTGAGAGAGCGTGAGAAGTTCTTTATAATTTCTGCGCGATAACGGTCTAGTCGGTGTATGTACGAGAGGTCAATTCTGATTTTACTTTATATACGAAACGAGTAACTGGACGCAGTTACATGCAATAATTACTGAGGCACAATATATTAAACTATATTTTGTACAATAAATATTTATTTATATATATATATATATATATATATATATATATATATAAGTCGCTATATATTTTAAGTCAAAAAAATATATATACGTAATATGCGAATAGATTTTTAGAGAAAAAAGTTTTAGTAGTATTTTCTAATAAAATATTAATGTATATATATATATGCATAAATCACACTTTTTATAAAAATAAAACATATACATGTAAACTGCTTCTATATAAAACCGCAAATTCGGATATGAAGAATGGGTGGCACGACCTAATGTGGAATATGTTTGCTAGTGTGTAAATCAATTAAAGAGAAATGAGGTCTTCCATTATTAAAGCGAAACATGTGAAAGTATTTGTTTTACGACTTATATATACTCCAGATAAACTTCTCATTCTCAATGAGAAGTTTTATCCCATTCTATCACATTCTAAGTAATGATAGGAATGTTTCAATCTATATATATATATATATGTATGTATATATATATATATATATATATATGCACACTATATATGTGCAGAAAAAGTATATATATATACGTAGAGTATATATTAATAAATTTATGTCACAAAAAAAGCAGATGAAATTTTGCTTCTGTTTGAGATCTTCCTGTCCATCGTGATTCATTTTCTTTCGATGTGCATACAAATTATATCTTTTTCTATATTTCTTACGATTCGACTAAATTTAAAAGCAAACTCACAACACAAAACAAAACGTATCTTGCAACACGCATCACAGTTTTTCCTTTTATTAATATCACACGTTATTATTAATTAGAAATATCTTAAACATACCATCTGTATATATATATATATATATATATGTGTGTATAAGTTAGCATTCAATAAATATTATTTCCGAACAATATTGCTGACGAGAAAACGAATGCTTCTCGTGGTTATTCCGATCGTATTCCTTGTTACATTCTATTTCAAGTGATTGCTGCGGAATTTTTGTTACTTCTTTAGTTTTATTGTTATGCTCGATACATTATCTAAAGTAGTATTCAAACTACCTCGCGATTAAGTTGGCTGTGTGTATATGTGTGTGTGTATGTGTAATTTCTCTCATTAAATCCTGAGCTCGGTACTTATCTAGAAAGTAAAAAAAGACGCGTATAAAAACAACAGATTGTATTCACATATCAGAAGAAGAGGCTTCGTAGACGCCGCCCCACGCCTTGCCTATCGTACAAGATATTAAATTTGTTTACAAACTGATTTATATTATTACAGCCCTTAGTTATGATACCGAGATACGTCATCAAACTGAAATCGTTGCATTGCTGAAACAGAAAAGAAGAAATAAATTATAGATCATTGTTACGATAAACCGACTATATTTTTTCAAAACTATCATTATACTGACATTATAAAAGTCAGCTCTAAATTTTGGATTATTTAGAACAGGCAGTCGATGACTTAAGGAACAAGCCGCTCGAAGTACTTCATGGTTTCCTTTCAACTCTCCATTCTGCACAGCCTGCATATATCTCAAGACAAGTTTCACTCTTGAGTGCAACATTTTGATAGCGCTGTGTTGTGCTGTTAAATGTTCCGCCACTGAAATGCAACATTCGGTTCATACCCTGATCTTGCTACTTTGTAAAAATACACAAGTATTTGTTGTTAAAATTACCTAATGAACTTTCACCCTGATCAATGTTACACATCCTTGCGACATGATCGACACCGATTCTCTCAGCTTCCTCAGTGGCTAATGTATAAGTTAATGGAACAAATAACATGGTGGCTTGACCACCGACTAGGTCGATTACTGATTCGTACATGGAAACCGACAATTGCTGTAAACAATCAAGTAAAAAATTACCTCAGGTGCAATTAACAAAGACAACCTTACCTTCAACCAGATACACATTATTACTGAACTTACATCTGTATTCTTCGGTCTTGGATCTAACTTCAGGAACACAGGGCTTTCATTTATTTCACAGAGCTGCTTGTGCACTCTGATGTCTCTCTCGTTGGGCATATCGCCGGTAGTGTACCAGCCCAAAAAGTCCATATCGCTAAAGACTTGCTTGAATTGCTCCTCCTTTGTATTGTAGTAATCTTTATCAATTATCACATCATCGCCGATGCAAGTGAACACCAATTCAAAGGAATTCATTATTTCTATGTTACGACCCTTCTGCTTACCAATCAGAGCGCCGTATACTAAAAATATCAACAATTTTATCACAAATTAAACAATACCAAATATTGTTAGGAACTTTTGTTCCTAGAAACTTGACCACATTATGATTTAAATGTATTATTGTCTCAGATACTATATAGTCTGAATTTTGACACAAGCAATCGTCCTGCTTATCACCATCAGTCTCATATATATATATATATATGTATATGTGCTGACTGTTCTTGCTAAATATAACAAATGATGATCATATTGAGATAAAGTACTGATTATATATTGAGGTCATGAGTAGCTTTAGTGAAAGATGTTTAAACAAGATTCGTGAGATCTTACCCAACTGGTCAGTGCCTTCCTGAGCCCTGAGCCTAGTCCAGTGCTCGCTGATGTTCATGATTACTAACGGATGCAGACTGATGGACACCGAGCCAACGGTGCCAGAGGATGCCATGACCTTGATCGCGCTCGTAGGGGTCGCAGACATAGCAGGGTTCCTCTCAGAAGTATCCTCGTCGATCTCCATCGGCGTTTCCCCGGAGGCTGTTACCGGGGTCTCCTTATTATTGGAGTTGGTTGCGTTGTTTTCGTCGACCTCCATGTCGTCTGCCAGCCGTCGTTACTGTCGTTCGTTCGTTTACCGCGGACTTGGCCGACTCCTCCGTTCGAGCAGACCCAGAAGAGGGGGGCTAGACGTAACGACTGACAGTGCAGTTTTTTCTTTGAGTCAACACCTTCGTCGTGCACCTGTCGACCTGGACAATCAGCACGAAATGACAAGCGTCTCCTCTGAAAATGGACAATGATCGACCGTTGAATCGATGTTCGACTCTTCCTTTTTTGCCACAGGATCGATGCTTTACCTTCTCGGTGACTCTTTTAAATTCGGCTGATCTTTATGTCGATAATTCTATAAAAATGTCGATACTTTAGCCGATTTCGTTAATAAATTGTACCGCTCGTATGACTCCTGTTTGTGCGACAGATCCGTAAAACGTTCACTCCTCCTCGTTAACGAGCGAAGATGAAGTTGATCCGACATGTTGTTCGGTCATGCCGCCAAAGAATATATGCGTCCTTGAATCATGCTACTCGGAAATAAAAACCTCTCTGACTCTTGATACCTTGACGCATTATTTAAAAATAAAAAAAAGTCATTTAAAACACCACGAAGTCGTAGCGGGTGAAAATGAAAAGCCTAACTCACGCGTTTCTGCATAATATTGCTAAATAAAAGGGGAAAATAATAAGCCGTTTCACTTGCCATCAAGTCGTACTCCCCGTTCGCTCGGTGAAAACAGTGGCGACCCGTAGCGGAAGTTTCAGAACTAACATAGAATAACGGGTCTAACGGGTTGATCTCTATTTCAACGTGTAGTTTCCAAGTCTCCGTTACGAGCCGCCACCTTCTTACCGACAAATCGAGAAGCTTTGTCCTGTGATACGACTCGACGACAAGGCAGACGAGTCCTCATTTTTCCAGATGACAAATAGGAATCAATATTATTCTCTCTCGCACAGATGCTTGTTTCACTTTTTGTATTACGGGAGAAATAAGCTACTCCTCCTTTTGTGTCTGTATACTCTAAGGTTTAAATGCACATTAGAGTCAAATTTGGAAAATTGAGGAATTTTTTGCTTAATTAGGGATCAATTATAGGAACTTTTAATTTTTTCATGTGGCGACACTGTACCTCGAACAGTCCACGAGAAGGATTCACATGGAATCACGCATCACGCGCGGCGCGACCCGAAGGATAACTCGCTTCGCTTTGTCGCAAATCTCACACTCGACTTATATATACATAGTCACACTTTTCGTTTGATCCTGTTTAGCGAGACATCCGACGCACTTTATCTTGGCGACCGAGGACCATTTCCCCCAGATTGCGCGAGAGTGACCGTGAATGCATTCGAGAGCGAGTCAGCGAATCGTCGAGGTAAGAAGAATGGCTTAGCGTGGATCATTTTCAAGCCGTCGTGTGTGACCGAGACACATATGTCAACGAGAGCGTATTTGTAGAATTGATCGTGTTTTTTCACGTGTTTGCTCGCTCGTGACTCGCATGGTGCTCCGACCAAGCTCGGCAGCTCATACTTCTCTCGTCGGCACGAAAGAAATCATCCTCCTCTTCTCCTCCAAGTGAGTAAACTCGTGATAGAGGTACATTTACTTCAACTGCGTTTCTAGGTTAGGCGGGCGATCGCATCGGGAGAGCGCGCGGTCGTTGGTCTCGCTGACGATTCGTGATCTCGCAGGCGCAAAGTCGTTCGTGAGTCATCGCACGGGGACTCCACGTCGACGAGGGACGCATGTGAAGGCTGCTCTCACGGATTGTCGATCGCCCTCGCACACCGTTCACGACCACATCGCGAGCCCCTGAGCTTCCTCATGGTGCGAATCGTAACGACAACCGTACTCTTACGATTGTAAAAGCGCGCCTTTCAGCGAATCCCCCCGACGCGTTCGAGTCAAAATTAAAAATTTGGACTGTAGAGACTGTACGGAAGTAAGGCTACCTGCCTTCCTAATAAGCCAACACGAATTAGAGACTCCCGAGCGGTCGGAAATGCTGACGAAAATTGCTGTAGTGTCTCCGTTGAGGCACCTTCTCCGAGAGTTCCCCGCCAACATAAAGTTTTGCTTCGCCTATGGGTCGGGTGTGTTCAAACAGACCGACAACAGCAACAGCGAGAATATGCTGGATCTCATATTCGTTGTGCGTGACGCTAGCAAGTGGCACGCTGAGAACCTGCAGAAAAATCCCAGGCATTACGCCCAACCGATGAGATTCCTCGGTGAGAAAGCGATTACTAAGATGCAAGAAAAATCGGGTGCTGGCATATATTACAACACTCTGATCAGAACCAATCAGGGACAGCTCATTAAGTACGGAGTGATCTCTGAGGTCTTGCTGGTGGAGGATCTTCTGGACTGGAACCACTTGTACCTGTCGGGTCGACTGCACAAGCCCGTGAAGGTGCTGGTGGAACCCGACGAGAGTTCCCAATTGCGCACTGCTCTGGTGCAGAATCTGCACTCGGCCGTGCACGCTGCCCTGTTGTTGCTGCCTGAGCACTTTACAGAGATCGACTTCTTCCGGAAGATCACCGGGCTGTCCTACCACGGTGACTTCCGCATGATCTTCGGCGAGAACAAGGACAAGATCAACAACATTGTGCTGCCGCAGCTGCAGCACTTCAAGCAGCTGTACGAGCCGGTGCTGAGGCACTTTGACAACTACGTAGACATACCGAAATTGGACAATATGGCGGTCACGTGTCGCCAGGACACCAGCCCGGTGACAAAGGTCCACCACCTGAACCACTTGCCGCGCATGCCGCAAGTCAGACTGATCAAGGCATGGTCTTATGGTCCGAGGTTGCGGGACACGGAGGATTGCCTGCGGGCTATCGCGCACGACCCGGAATGCTGCGACATATTGGAGCAGTGCCTGAAAGATATCGTCTGGCGGTCGAGTGTGACGCAGAGTCTCAAGGGAATCGTGACGGCGGGCCTCACGAAATCCGTTAAGTACAGCGGCGCCAAGATAGTTAAGATGTTACGATCGAACGTGTCCGACCAGTGCACCCTGCCTAGTCAACGACGGAACTCGAGTCAAATCGATAACATCGTCGAGGCGGTCGTGAAGAAGACCGAGACGAAAGGGGCCGAAAAGCGCGTCGAGTAGTTACACCGTCTCCGTCGTTCTTCCTAGAGTGAATTTTCAACACACCCCGACACGTATACACATTCACATGTAAATTCTCATAACGCTTGTATTGCAAAAGGGAAAAAAAAAAGAAGTAATAAAGTGAATGGTTTCTCCTTATTCTCAAGGGTGTAACGCATTCATTGTAAGTGTAACTCGCGCGCGGCCACTCGCGCTAATTAGACTCACTTTTTGCTTTTCTTTCGTTGAGAGGTCTCCAGATGAGGAAGCGTCGAGTGAACGGTTGTCCATGAGTCTATGCTCTATCCGATGTTCTAGAAATCGCAGAGATACCTCACGAGAGTCTCACGTACCGGTCGCGTTTGCCAAAAATAAAAAAAAAAAAACAAAGTATATTCGCGTTCGGTGAAAAGTCCCCGAAGCTCACAGCTCTGTCGTGTTTTCAGCGACCGCTCGGATTATGACACCGATGGATTCCGACTCGGAGAGCCAAGACAGCGATGAGGGCCGGCGGTTTCGCTTCGAGGCTACGCGCAAGGACCCGGTCGCGCCCGTGGACACGACCAGCCGGACGACAAAGTCGCCGAAGAAGAAGTCGAAGCACAAGTCGTCGCAACGCGACGACAGCAGCAGCAGGCATTATCGCGAGCGGAAGGAGCGCTCCAAGTACGAGAGCACCAGGAAGACTGACGACAAGGATCTCAGGCACTTGATCAAGCACACGAAGTCGCAGCACGAGTCGCGGAGTGGCTCGCGGCAAGAGGACTCGGGCGGTAAGAATTTACACAGGGACGCGTCCACCGGGAACGACCGTGGCCCCAGGCACTGCTGTGGCGGCGGCGGCGGGGACACCAGGGAGAGGTCGCGGGATTCGAAACGACAGTCGGACAGGGATCGGAGCGTCCATCGAGTGCAACGATCGCGTGAACACTCGTACGAGAAGAACCAGGACGAACTGCTGCGAGGCTCGTCGTCGTCGGGCGACAAGCACCGGGCTCGCGACAGGCACAAGCATCGTTCGCGAGACAGGAGCCGAGAACGGTCTCATCAGTCGAGCAAGCTCAAGTCCTCGAGCGGCGAGCGGTCTCGAGAAGACCACGGTAAGACCACGGACTCCGCGAGGAAGTTGTCGGTGAAGGAGAACAAGTCGCAGAATTCCAAGGACTACTCGTCCAAGAGCGTCGAGCGGGCGTGTAGCCGGAGCTCGGAGAGTCGTTCGACGCTCATTCGTCTCGACGCGAGCGAGGACATGAAGAAAGAGTCGCCGTCGGACGTTCAAGACTGCAGGGAGCTGGACCTGTCGCAGTTCGACGTGCTGTCTGAGACCGACGAGAACACGTCCGACGCCCCGGACTCGCGGTGCCGCGCCTTGCCGTTGCGTCACCGTGAGAGCAAACCGATGCGAGAGCACGACTCTGCTGGAGATCGCTCCGAGAGTCGCGAGCCGCCGAAGAAGCGAGCGCGAGCGGAAGAGCGGCAGGAGAGGCACCAGGTAAAAATGAGGAACCACGACGAGGACGGCGACGACGACGACAAGGACTGCGGCGATCCGGCGTCCGGGCCGAGTAATAATAATCATAGTGCCGTTTCAGATTCCTCACTAGTCCCGTTCGAGACGATAGCCGAGAAATCGGGAGACACGCGCGCGGACTACTCCGCGAGAGAGAGGCTCGAGCGCCGCTCGAGACAGGAAAGAACGACGCTCGCTGACAACAACAGCGACGCGGAACGTTCAAGCTCGAGAGAGAGACGCTCGCGACACCCCGCTGCCGTCTCGGATGAAACGCGATCTCTCGAGAGAGGCGCGAAGCGAAGTAGCTCGATATACGGTCCGCTGCCGATACCGGAAATAACGCTTGACGACGAGCAACTCGAGACGTCGTCCTCGAGGCGTGTCGACAGCAATCACCATCGCAAGTCGCGGAGGAACACGACGTCGATCGTCGACGATAACCACGACGGTGTGGTGGATAACGGCGAGAGGAGGGTTCTCGTCGGACCTTGCTTACCGCCGAGCGACAAGACGAAGAGTGCCGTCGAGTCTCGAGCGGATGATCCGAAAGAAGCCGCGGAGGACGTGGTGGACATGGCTTTCGGGCCAGCACTGCCACCGCATCTGTTACAACGAACGTGCGACAAGTCGCCTGAGAAGATTATCGGGCCCGTGCTGCCCGACAGCTTGAAGAAGACATCGCGTGAGACGTTTCACGCGGAATCCGACGACGACTGCGCGATAGGCCCCTTGCCCGAAGATCATCCGGCCCTGAGGAACAGCCGCGTGCACGAGCAGTTGGACCTGAGGGCGCGCAGAATCAGGCACGAAGGCTACTCGGAGGAGGTAAAACGATGCACTTGCTTTCGACGGTCTTGGACTGGGAGGGAGAGAAAGAGAAAAAATCTAGGGAGAAAGAGAGGAAGAACGCGAGGGTGTGTTACTGATGAGAGAGGGAAACGATCGTGTTTCAGGTCGACGTCGGAAACAAACGCGAGGAGTGGATGACCGAGTTGCCGCCGGCGCAGGCTGCCAACTTAGGATTGGGCCCACGCAAGTTCCGCATTAGAGACGGCCCGGATATGTCGGATAGATCGTGTTGGACCGACACGCCCGCGCAGAAAGTTCAGAAGCAAAGGGACTCGGTGAGTATGCCCGGTGTGTCAGGAATTCAGCGCAGAAGCTGGACGTGCTGGCTTCATGCGCGCATCCTTCAGCACTTCACTTCACACGTGACGACGCTAATGTTGAGCCTCTGTGATGTTCTCCGCGCAGGAGCGGAGAAGATTTAGCAGCAGTACGGAGGAGTCGGACAAGAGACGCGCGAAAGAATGTCACAAGAGGGACTCGGACAAGAGCACCAAGCGCGAAAAGTCTCTGTTGGAGATGCACCAAAGCAAAATGGCCAGGAGAAAAAGGGTGAGTCGGCACTTCACCCTCTGCGCGCGCGATCGTCGATTATACCGAAAGATAGTACAACACCTTCCTTGCCTTTTAGAATGAGGAGAAGGAGGCGAAGTTGAGCGGAGGATCAACGAGGAGGCCGTTCGACAGAGACATCGACCTGCAGGTCAATCGTCTCGATCAGGCGCAGAAAAAGACTATTCTCATGAAAGCGCGGATGCTCGACGACAGATTCTCACGCGGACAAATCTGAACGTTCGCCGCGTGAAACGGCCTGACAATTGCGACATCGCGCAGCTGAATTCTTGCGCTGATGAGCGCGTTCAGAAATTGGCGGATGTCGAATCGATATTCGACATCGTACAGATTGGTGCCTTGAATCGGAGCGAGTTCTGTTATCTCTTTATTTGTATTGAATAAGAGTCTTACGTAAATGTTTTAGAGAGAGAAAGAACGGAGCGGGGGGAGGGGGGGGGAGAATACGTACTTTAGCCTAGTTACATTCATACTTTTTTACCGTGATCTACGTATAATTTAACACGACACCCTACTACTGATCGTATGCGCGCGCGAAATTTTATTTCTTGATCGGCGAGATCCGGATCTTTGCGAACGGCCGCGGTTTCGGGCGCGGGATTTTACTTTCTTAAAATGCGCGACGTTTTCTCGCGGTTTCTCGAGGAGAAGCGCGAAGTCGTAATCAGGGACACCTTGTACTGATGTAAATTTATCTAGATATATATATATATATGTATATATATATATATGTATCAAGCACGAGCCGAGCGTATTGTTTTAGATGAAACTTTCCTAACATCTCTCATTATCTCTTTCTTATAAAGTCGTCTTTTGTAACACGCGACACGACGCGACGCGACATGTGTGTCACGATTCAGACGATTGTATCTTTTATAAATAGCATTCACGCAACACATATGTATATATAGCGTTCTTCTTGTGATTGTACTGTAAAACCGATAGTAACGTAACGTAATGATGACAGCAACACAACGATGGTACGGCCAATTTCCGCGTGCGAGTGTTAAGTAGACACGCCGCTTGTTGTATTCGTTCGTCGCACGTATTTTCTAAGCGAGACAAGTACAAAATAGTGTAATATACTACTTAGCACAGAACGTACGTACACACGTACCTCATGAGACACATTACATTGCGAATGCAAGCGTGATCATAAGGTCACGGTACTCTTAAGCGTGAGACGAAATGATATCGCTGATACCCGTTTACGCTTTCATGTTTCGCATCACGTGGGAGGAACTATCCTTACGATTTATACCATGCAATATTTGGGCATAATTTCGCCACGAAATTATGCATACTTGATTGCATTTCGATACATAAAGATCGAATATGTCAATTAATACCGACTGTGTATGTTTGTCCCTCTTTGTCCCGAATATTATAGTATTATCCTTCTCGATACGTCAATTGGATCTGAATACAAAACGTAAACTGTAGCAAGAGTAAAAGTGTAATGTTAAATTTGTGTATATGTGTGAGAACTATTCGAAATTATATAGATTAAATCATCTTATCCTTTTGTAAGATACGAACACTGTGTATAATGTTCCCCATTCAAAGTTAAATTCCAAGACAAAATGGAAAGATTCGAATTATAAGATATGAAAGTTCCAAAATGAAAGTTACACGTATAATTTGAAGATCGACTCCAATTGAACTTGAATATTTCTCGCACGTTACCGCACTCGTTCTTCACCGGGAAATTTCAGTATCTTGAACCGTTCAAAATCTCAGCAGTCTGATCTTTTACGGTGTTTGAACGTCGAGCCATTTAAAAATTAAATCGACCCCGTCCGCGCATGCGCGCATGTCCCTCTCTCTCTCTCTCTCTCTCTCTTTCGCGTTACGCACTTCCCGCGTGTCCAAGTGTGTGACGGCTGGCAGCGGCTGACAGGTCGACGTTGAAGATTTTCCGCGAAATTCGTCCTTGCGAACGTCGTAGACGCCCGCGAAGCCGCACTGATTTCCACGGACGCATCCGCCGATACACCCGACGTCGCTCCCACGGGGATTCCGTCAGCCGATCGTCCGAAGCGGTCGACGTCCAAATAAGACGCACCTAACCTCGAAGAAAGTAATACCGACGTACACGGTCATGACGTCCGGCACATCGTGAATGTGGCTGCTCTCTTGGGCTTTATCGTCGTGAGGCACGACGCGAGTAGCGGCCGCATCACGCGGAAGAGGCACATCCGGCGTGCTTCCTTCCGGAGCAGCGAACGTCGTGGCTTGGGCGGACACGGACGCGGACGGCTGGAAGGAGAGGAGCGCTCCTCGAGGAGTCGGCGCCTCGTTAGTGCATTAATGGCCGGCTAAAGAGCGTACGCGACACGGGCCGACTAATGGTAGCGCGTGAACCGACAATCGTGAGCACTTTCGGCTTTCGGTACGTATCGACATTGTTGTCTGTGCGAGTGAGAGCCGAAATTACGCGACTCTGTAATAATGCGTAACACGTCGTTGCCGAGATAATCGGTCAACGCGATACAACCGCGTCAAAGATTCGCGAGAAATCATCGCGTCTCACGCGCGTGATATGATATAGCGCGCGTCATTTTAATTAAAATGCCGAGGATATCTCGTTTCTTGTTCAAGAGAGGTAGAGAGGGGGGGGGAGGGGAGAAAGAGAGAGAGAGAGAGAGAGGAAGAAAAAGAGAGAACGAGCAAAGGTCCACACCCGTGGAGATTCGACTCGGCTCGGCTCGGCTTCGACTTGACTCGCGAGCGAGCAAATTATCGCGCGCGCGGAAGGAATCCGCCGTTCCTCGCGGCGACAACAGGTGTTTCTACGCGTTTCATCATCTGCCTGTCTGTCTGTCTGTCTGTCTGTCTCTCTCTCTCTCTCTTTCTCTCTCTCTCTCTCTCTCTCTCTCTTTGTCGCTCTCCGTCTCCGTCCTTCCACGGCGCCGGATTAACTGCTGCTATCAGGCCGAGGTTTTCATCGCTGTGCTAATAAACGACGTGGACCTTGAAAACTACGATTGTTCGCAGTCGCTCGTGCATCGCGATCAAGTCGCTTTGTCTCTCGAGACTAGTCAGTCGGTCAGATACCGTACGGTAAACGTGTGTGTGTGTGTGTGTGTGTGTGTGTGACACGAGATTGCGAGTGTGTGTGCGCGCGCGCGAGAGAGAGCGAGACGGTACTTTGGGATCGCGTGGAGCAGACTGCTTTCATTAGGCTAGCTTGTTTGTTTATCTCTGTTATCAGATGCGCGCTGTAAATTACTGCGCGTCCCGTGCCCCGCCTGTGTGTCTCGAACGTATGACTAAGTTGATTGCGCGGCGGATACGCTGCGGTGAAGAGTTTTACTTGAATGTACAGTACGTAGATATATATCGTCACGACGGTCGTGTGCAAGTGGAATGTATTTTGTTTGTCGCAGAGTAGCCCCCCCGCTGCGCCTCGCTACGCGATGTACTTTCTGTCTACTTCGGACGCACCCCCTGCGATATCCGCAAAGTAGATCCGCCGATTGTATAATGAGCCAGCTGAGAGAAAGCTGTGTGCGACGCGATTGAAGTTGACGCCAAGGGTGGACGTTCTCCGAGTGATTCAAGATGCGACAGTGTTGCGTGAACCATCAGGTCTTGCAATGGCTTCTTTGCCTGGTCCTGGGCGCTGCGTACAGCCGCGCGGATATCCTGGTGTTCTCCGCGGAGGCGAGACACCAGATCGAGGAGGAGTTTCGAGACATGCCCGCCAAGTTCGGAGGTTCAATACCGGCCGATGGGATTAAAGTACGTTGCCCCTTTGAAACTTCTTTTTGCCTCCTTCTGCTACGACCATTTCCAACGAATTCCTTTATACACGTGCACTCATGATTTTCTCTCTTGTGTCCGTTGTACCAGGGCATGGTGGTCTATTCCGACCCTCCTAATGCGTGCCATGAGATACAGGGTCCGCCAACTAATATCAGTAACAATAGTAATTGGATAGTTTTAATACGACGTTACAACTGTAGCTTTGAGATAAAAGTTCGAATGGCGCAGAGAGCTGGATACGATGCTGCTATTATACACAATGTCAACAGCAATGAATTGGGTAAGCAGCCGTGTGTCTTGACGTTAGTGTAACGTGATTGCAGTGTCACATAGATTGCAATCTACCCGTGGTAGAAAGCGGAGTAGACAGAACGTTCATTCCGCTTCACTTTCAGAGCCCATGTCAGCCAAGAATACCATAGGAATTGCGATACCGTCTGTGTTTGTCAGTGACGTCACGGGAATAGTCATCAAGGAAAATTATTTATACAACCAGCAGTATTTTGTATTAATTAACGATGATCTGCCGTTCAATATTAATACACACCTGCTCCTACCTTTTGCCATTGTTGTTGGGATATGTTTTCTAGTCATGCTTATTTTTATGGTAAGTTGCATTTAAGACGCTCAAGATTTCTCTCTCTCTCTCTCTCTCTCTCTCTCGTTCGCGCGCGCGCGCGCGCCTAACGTTCCGCCGATTTTTGTATTGATCGTTCGATCGTTCGATGGTTTACGGGCTGTGCAGATTGTCAGATGCATAAAGGACAGAAGACGACAACGGCGGCATAGGCTACCTAGTTCCAGCTTGAAGAAGATCCCGACACACAAGTACACAAAGGGCGATCCGTACGAGACATGTGCTATTTGCTTGGACGATTATGTGGAGGGAGAGAAATTGCGAGTTTTACCGTGTGCACATGGTACGCGCGTAACCGCCTAAAATAAGTCATTCTCAAATCTATCAATCTCGTGTTGTCACCGGACAACATCGAGATTGATGATGCCGCAATAGGCGCGAGCGATACAACATTGTTCTCTGCTAATTTATTATGATGTGCTTGTGACATCTTACAATGTCTGGAGAGATGTTGGACGTTTAACAGTCTAAAAATATAATTGAGATATTTCGGCAGATGGAAAGTAAAACAATCGCCGCGCGTGTTGACTAACGGCGAATTATTAAAATGAGAATATTTGGTTCAGCCGGCGGGATTATCCAGTTGCTAATAATGGTGCGTTGAACCTTTCAGCTTATCATTCAAAGTGTATCGACCCATGGTTGACGAAAAATCGAAGAGTATGCCCCGTCTGCAAGAGAAAGGTTCGTTGGCGGTTACTGCAGACTATTTCCGAGTTTGTAGCAGTACAGTAAACCCCTGTATATAACGCGAGGGAAGTGTTCTCCTCGTTACATGTGATATAATGCGCTACAAAAACTTTATACAGAGATCCAAGATGCGTTGTTCATCGAAACAGAAACGCACGGATTCTCTTAAGATTGTACAAATTCAGTATTTAAGTATGCATTACACGGGGTGATGGTGCGGTACAGGCGAGGCCTGTCGTGACTTTCGCGCAGAGTTATGCGGGGTTTGCTGTATCGTAAGACCTGCGTGCCGTGCAGAGAAAAGATTCGCTCGCTCGAAGATTGTTGAGAATAAAGCCTGACGATCTAGTCTCACAAAGACACTTACTCTCTCCTACCATATCTCGCAGGTTTTTACGGCTGATGAGCAGGTGGTGACCGACGAGAGTGATTCAGACGCCGATGACACGACACCTCTGATTCGCGACGGTCATCACGGTGCGTGCGAATGTTCTCGGATAAGTAGTGAAAACGTCGAACAATCGACGCTAACCGTCCGTGTCGCGATTTACAACGTTACGTGACCATCAAACTGTTCTTCCAGGCACGCAAGGCGGAACGTTCGCGCGACAGAGGGAGAATCCCTTCAACAGGGCCAGGAGATCCCAGAACAGGCAGGATAGTAACTCTAGCGTTAATAGCTCCGATTCCGAACAGTCCTTTGCTACCGACGACCGGGTTAGTACGAGCGCCGGTGAACCATCCAGCGGCACCGCTTTTATGGTATCCGATACCCACAGCATAAACGGTGAGATCCAGCATTAATTTCGCTCGCGTGTTTCGCATGCGCCGTACGACAAATCTGCACAATGTCTCTCTTCCTCCTCTCTCATCGATCTCTCTCTCTCTCTCTCTCTCTCTCTCTCTCTCTCTCTCTCTCTCTCTCTCTCTATTTATCTATCTATCTATCTATCTATCTATCTATCTATCTATCTATCTATCTATCTATCTATCTATCTATCTATCTATCTATCTATCTATCTATCTGTCTGCCCATCTATCTTTATCCACCCTGTTCGATCTGTTTAGGCGAGCCACAGGAACTGGAACGCTCGGTCAGCGATAACAATTTATACGCTGACGTTCAAGAGTACCCGACGCCTGTTATACAAATCGGACCGGCACGAAACACGAGGGCTGCGCTAAACTCCACGACGTCGGATCCCGATTACACGATCGTAATGCCGACCGCCAATGCCAGCAGGAACGACGTTGTTACGTAATGGCAACAGCATCACCTGCGACCGTCGCATTGCACGTTACAGGCCGTGCGTGTCTTGCCGGGTCGGTGGACGTTAAATAGAAGTGACAAGCACACAATGAGGATGGATAATCCGAAAGTAGGTAGTATTTTTAACGTACGCGAGTCACCATATTTCTTCTCTCAAATAACGCTATTACGACTTTGCTTTAATGCCAAATATTTCTTCACGCTGATGTGTAATACGTTGCGTCTGGTGTAACAACGCATACCCGGCGAATTTACGCGTTATGTCGCATCAGCGTTTCTTGTTTTTTGTTTTCCGTGTTTCGTCCTGCGACGAATGATGCATACAGTGACTGTTACGTGTTACGAATCGTCGATGATCTTTCTCTTTTATTGTCGCGATCGCGACAATAAAATCTTTCGAGATCTTTCGAGAAAAACATCCATCTTTTGTTTTAAAATCGAACCGCGAGATATGAAAACGAGCATACTGCGATGAGATAGAGCGAATCGATGTGTTGTTTAACACATCGATTCGGCTTAAAAGGTCAATCAGTGATGGTACGTCACTGCTCGATTTTTCATCCAAACACCTGATCGAAACCGTTTTCAGTTATTACGTAGGTAAGACTGCGAGCACTAGTTCACCGTTTAAAGACCTATGTTATTTTGTATACTTAGCTTAAGAACCACACGGCCTATTTGATTTTTGCGCTTCACAAAGTTGAAAGTTTACTTGAGATTATGTTTTCCTTTCTTTTCTTTTCTTTTCTTCGTCGTTTAGTTACAAAACCGCATTAAGCACGATATAGGATGCATAGACCTATGAGTCAGTTTTACAGCGATTACGTTTGCGCGGCATGTGACGAGCGCTGGGTGATATCGCAAAGTGTGTGTGACGAACGTGACTTTGTTGGCTACATATATCGGCTCTGTAAATATTATTTGTTAATATATATAACAATCAAGAGACCAAAAATCTACACAGAATTCCTCTCGAGTGCAGGACGTAGGATATCTTAAGGCGCAATCGTTCGTTGCTGCAGCGGATGGCCGCACCGAGATGTGAATGTTTTAGGTATAAGTACTCGCAAGTTTAGACACTAAGTTGATCAAGTTGAATCTTTAGTGTTAAGTTTTACGAAAGGTTTACTGTTATATCCAAAGTATACTATTGAACTACTACTATATACTACTACCACTGTGTACCGTTTTATATATATATAAAAAAAAAGGTAGAATAGTACTTATAAAATGGGCTGTATACAATACGCGACGTGTCGACAATTATCGTACGTAAATTTCGCTGTCAGTGAGTGACATTTCCATTCGACTTTTAATCGTGACAGAACAACGCCGAAGGGACTACGAAGTTGGCACGAAGTTTTAACGAAAAGCGATCGCACACATCATCTCAATCAAACAAACTCAGCCATCGGCGCTGACGCTCATGGCTCCGTTCGTACCTTATCGTAAAGTGCATAGATCTGCTCGTCCGAAGACATTGATGAGAGCCGCGAGAACATATCGAACGGCGAACGGCGAACGGCGAACCTTGTTGCTCATAACTCTAGACACACGTGAGCATGCATGCAATTTAATTTCGCGAAAAATGGAAGTATAATGCTTCGACACATCAGATGTATGAAGAGCAACGCGCAGGGCGACGGCTAAACATGGTAGGATTGCGTGTAAAAAGATATGTAAATAGCATCGCGGAGGATTCTATTGTATAAGCGCGGTACGCGAAAAATATTTTTATTTGTTTTTATAATCGTCAAATCGGGACACAAGTATTTGCTATTATCTTATCGTTTAACAATAGATGTAACACTAATAAAAATAAAACGTATTTATATTTTCTATTCTACCATATAAGACTCGCACATCTCCTGGTCACTCGTTGTGACGAACGACCCGCGGAATGATGTGTCTGCGGATCATGCGCGACTATACAAGGTCGAAAAGTTTTCATCCGTGAGGTCTCAAGGAGTGTTATGGATCCAGGAGCAAGACAGGAAGAATCCAAATACACGTCACATCAAGTATGCTCAAGAGAAGCCCGAGAAGAGTCGAGGTCAGAAAATTCATCATTCGACCAATAAGCTCGATCAAAGTAAAATTCACGAAACGGCAGAACAAGGAACAAACGCGGCAATCTCTGAAACTACCTTCGCACCTAAGAAAGCCCAATAAAATGTAAGGATTGTGAAGCGAGAGAATCGAGGATCTTACACGAGGACGTGCGAGTTTATAAAGACAAGAAGAAGAAGAAGAAGAAGAGGTAGAAGACAAGGGCTCGAGGGAGAATCTTCGAAATAATGAGGCCACGCAGAAGGAGCCGAGAGGACATTGACGATCCCTGTTCTCTATTGAAACTAAGAACTCGACACCTCTTTCGATTTCGGCCGCATCGTGTTGTCTACGCAAACGTCACCACGTATGACCGACTGAACGTTCCTCTCGCGAATTGGACTTGCTCATGAACCCAACGAGAGGAATGAAGAGAGGGAGAGAGGGAGAGAGAGAGAGAGAGAGAGAGAGAGAGAGAGAGAGAGAGAGAGAGAGAGAGAGAGAGAGAGAGAGAGAGAGAGAGAGAGAGAGAGAGAGAGAGAGAGAGAGAGAGAGAGAGAGAGAGAGAGAGAGAGAGAGAGAGAGAATCAACCGAAGATCTGAAGACGGCGCAGTATCGGCGACAGGAGGGAGAAAGCGGAGGTGGAGGAGGACCACGCGACTGGCTAACACGACTACGTCGAAGCAGAAGGAGCACTAGTAGTGTGAGGCTAATTCTACATTTTGCAGCCGGGGGACGGCGCGGAGTGGCCGCACGTGACGGCACAATGCCGCTCGGAGTTGGCGTCCTTGCCGTCGTCGCCGCCACCACCGCCGCCTGCAAATATGTACACACGTTCACGGCGGTAAGAGACGGCTGTGCTGTTTTGCCAGTTCGCTCCCTGGGCCACTCCACCGCCACCGCCATCGCCACCACTACCACTGGGCCACCACCGCCGCCACCGCCGTGGCGAGGGAGGTCGTCCTCTCCACCTTCGCTATCGCAGCAACCCCGATGCGACCCTCTAACGACTCGTACTCCCTTCCTCCATCACACACGTCGGCCTCTCGACACGTTGTAGTCCTCATCGTCCTCCTCCTCCTCCTCCGCCACCCCCTTCTTCTACTTTTTCTCCCCCTGGTCCCCCTGTAGCCTTTATAAGCGGAGCGTAGCGGTCGCGTTCGCCGACGATTGAGACCACGATCGCGTGAATTCTCTCATCACCCGGCGAGTTTATCCTGGCTTCTCGCTGGATCGTAACGACGCGGAACGACGACGGGGATGGAGGAGAATAAACGTCTCGCGAGCATTTACATCGAGCGAAAAACGTCCGGAGATCCCAACCTAACCCCCTTCCCCCGGGATCAAATCCCACTGGCATACGCGGCTCTCTCCGTGGCACCCTGTACATGTACTCGAGATGATGTATCGCTTATGTAACGGGGACGGGCGCACTCGAAGCGCCGGCGGAGTACGTGTATCGCGATTTCTCTCGTGAATCGTGTGCGGTGCGGCGTGCCAAAAAGCTCTAACGGGAGGGGGAGAAGGAGGAGATGAAGGAGGAAGAGGAGGAGGAGAGTAGCGGAGGTGGACGTAGGAGGATGGGGTGCTTTTGGGGGTTGGCCGCGGATGGACCGAGCAACAACGAGACGGGCAAGCTGTCCGCGTGACTAACCCGTCGCTACAGCTGGTCGCGTATTATCGATTCGCGAAAATTTCTCTTCGCTCACGGTCATGCGCGAGCCCCATTTCCACCTTGAGATACTGACGGGAGAATACAGGTCACGCGCACGCAACGTGGCCGCCGACGAGGTGCCGTCGCTGGCGCGTGTATTAGTGCGTGTGTGCGTGCGGCCGCATCGGGCTTCGCTGCGCAGGCTGTCCCAAGACCGACTACCTGCGCTCTGGGCCCGCTGAGGTTGTAGCCTCCGGGCTTCTCCAAGAAGAGGATCTCGCGACCCGGTGATGATCAGAACGCGTATGCCGTAGCATTTTTATAAAAGGACAGCTTTCAGGGACAGCGCTGCGTCTCTCTCTCTCTCTCTCTCTCTCTCTCTCTCTCTCTCTCTCTCTCTCTCTCTCTCTCTCTCTCTCTCTCTTCCACTGTCTACATCCAGGCGGAATAAAAAACAACGATTACGTCAGGATGATAGCTAAGCGACAGGAAGATGATTGCATCATGATCAAAGAGTGAACGTTTATCGGTATTTTTCCTTCGTATCATCATGATGTTCTCCTCCGCCTGAGCAGACGTTCCATCTTCGTCTGGCTTTCTCCAACAGGAATGAAGCTGGAGGAAGATTAAATGCCTGTGGCACGGGCCATCCTTTTCAGACGTAGTCTTCGCGGCCTCTTGTGAAGCGCTCGATGTGCCGAGATGTGCAAACTGAAGGATGCCGCAACCTGTCCGTTAATGATTCAGAATCATTTGCGGGATCGTCGCGCGTTTCTCGGGAGACTAAATCGACAGCTCTGCGACTCTGTCGATTTTGCGTCCCGTGTCTCTTCGCGTGCTTGATCGCATTGTTTGAATGAGCAATGAATGAATAATGAATTTATGTATGAAGAATTCTCGCATGCACCGTTGATTTCGGTTTCAGGCTTCGCCTGGACCAGAGATGGTAAAACAGACGGTCCTGCGAGACGCGCTCGGGATGTCGTTTGAATCCCCCGACTCCTGTTGAACACCGCAGCGTATCATCCTCCCTTGCTTCCTTCTCGCTTTTTCTCTCTCAGCTGCTCTGCGGAATTTAAATAGCCAGACGGGACAGCTGTTTTCGCGGCAGGGCGCGTACGCGAGAGAGGATTCGGAGACTGATTTCGCTCTCCGTCCGGTGGTCAGTATCGCCAGACACGGCGGATGTAAGTGGAAATATCTCACTCAGCTGCAACCCTTTTACCTCGAGCTTCGTGAACACGGTGAAACTGGTCTTCGACTGATGAATTTCGAAGTACACGCGAGACGCTCCGTGCGCAGTGAGAGCTTTCGCGGAGAAGCAAACGTCGTCGTACCTGACGAAATTGTAGCTGACGGAAATGAATAAATTGTTGGGCAAATTGATTCATTTCGAACAGACCTCTCAGCTTGAAATTACGATAACGATGATAAAAACGTCCCAAATTCCCGCGAGAAGTTCCCCACGACTAGCCTCGCTCTTATGTATGTAGGATATATAGAAAAGCAGTCATCAGAGCAACAGGACCTCCTATAACGTCCTTATCCCTCCTATAATGTCTTTTATCTCCATCAACTTCTTTCTGCGTCCTTGTTCCGTTCTACAACAATCCCGAACACCGCGACTCTCTCAAGGACCAAACGATTTCAGTTGATTATTATCGCCGAATCGGCGATGCCCACCCACTCTCCCCCTGCCGATAAGCGTTATCGCGCGCGCGCGCGCTCGTTCGTGCTGCCTTCGCGGAAATTCTTTGTCTATCGCTAGGAAGGCTACACTAAAACGACAGCTCTATCATTCTAGAGCACCCTGAAGAAGAGAGCTGGTGCGAGGCATCGTCATCATTCCTCGCTATCGGAAGTCGAGTCGAGACGAGACGAATGCGTCGTCAGCCCCAGACTGTGCGCGACTCGATCTCCCACAGCTCCTGGCTCTCTCTCCCTCCCTCCCTTTCTCTCTCTCTCTCTCTTTCTCGCGCGCGCGCGCGCGCTATCTCGATTCGACTCGGCCTCTCGACCTCGTCGACGCCGATCGAAGTCGAAGCGTATATAACGCACGCCGCGGCGAGCGGTCGTGGCCGTCACCGCCGCCGCCGTTGCCGCCACCACCACCGCCATCTCCACCGCCGCCGCCACCGCCGCCGCCGCCGCCGCCGCCGCCGCCGCCGCCACCACCCCACCGCCGCCGCCGCCGCCGCCGCCGCCGCCGATATATTCGGGTCGTTCGGACGGTCGCTCGAATCTCGGAACGAGCACAAATCCATACTGCGCCGCGCGAGAGTCGAGGATCGTACTCGGTCTCTCGGTTTCTCTCCTCTCTTTTTTTCGGAGAGCAACGCGTTCGTCGGCACCGGGGACGCGAGCGAGAAGAGGATGAACGAGACGCGGGGATGATAAAGAAGAAGAGGGGGCGGCGGGGAAGTCACTGGGAAGAAGACGGAGGCTGGCGAAGAGCTCTCCGCGGAGGCGGGTTTCGGGTGTCGGGGGGGATGACAGAGGGTGGCAGGGTGGGTAGAAGAATCAGCGTTCGCGTGGAGCGGAAGACGATCGTGTGTGTAGCGCCGTATGCGCCGAGGGTAGGCGGGAGCTCGTAGGGGGAGAGATCGAGGGGAAAGAACGAGAGAGGGAGAGAGAGAGAGAGAGAGAGAGGGAGGGAGAGAGAAGGGTGGAGAATGAGAAAGAGAGAGAGAGGATGACGGGGGGTTAGTGCGATTCGGGGTACAAAAGAGGTAGGACTCGCCGCAGGAGAGACAGAGAGAGAGAGAGAGAGAGAGAGAGAGAGCCGTGGGGCGACGAGAAAGAGGCGACGAGCGGAAAGGGGTGAGCATCTTTGGAGGTGGGAGAGAGAGAAGGATCACGCGGGGTAAATAGGGATTGAAGAGGGGCGCAGGATACGGGGTGCGGAATGGAAGGGTCGGGGGGATGAAAGCGCTCGAAGCCGCCGCTCGTCCCCGGACGGGGAGCGGCGCGAGAACGAAGATGGCGACCTGCGCGATAACGCCCAGCCTGTGGTCGTCGATGGTCATCACCGTCGACGAGTCTCGCTCGCCAGCCCGACGAAGGGAGCTGCTTGGGGTGAACATAGAGCGCGGGATGTCGCGACGATGATCGCACTCTCGATGATAAACCATACGTCAAGCGGACCACCCCCGTTGCTCGATGCCGTTGTCGGTACCTCTGGAGAAGGGGACCGCGCATCGCCACCGGGCGCAAGGACGAGGACGCAGGTGGCGCGACTTTCGTGTCCACGAGTGGAAAGAATCCGCCCTGCAAATCTCTTCCCGCGGGGGTGAGAGCGATGGGGAGAGTAGAAAGGGAGAGATAGAACTAAAGATAGAGAGAGAAAGAGAAAGGGGGGGAGGGGGAGGAAGAGAGAGAGAGAGAGAGAGAGAGAGAAAAGGAAGAACGACAGATGTGGAGGTTTGCGACGGAGGTTGATAATGGGGAGAGAGAGAGAGAGGGGGGGGAGAGAGGGAAGAGGGCAATCGTGTGCGCGCGCGTGAGACAGAGAGAAAAAGATTGTAGATAGAAGCGAGTGAGAAAAAAATAGGGAGAGAGAGAGAGAGATAGATAGGTAGAGAGGGAGAGAGGGGGAGGGGGAGGGAGAGAGAAAAGCTCCAACACATCGGATGGTGAGCAAGAGGATGGACTGAGAGCGGGATGGAGAGGGTAGCACCGGAGGTTGCGAAAGGGGGTGGCGAAAGAAGGGGGT